GAGAGTTCAGGGGTCCAGAGAGTGCAGGGGGTTCAAAAAGTCCAGGGGGTCCAGAGAGTGCAGGTAGTCCAGAGAATCCAGGGGGTTCAGAGAGTGCAAAGGGTTCAGAGAGTCCAAGGGGTTCAGAGAGTCCAGAGGTTTCAGAGAGTGCAGGGGGTCCAGAGAGTCCAATGGGTTCTGAGAGTGCAGGGGCCTAGAGAGTGCAGAGGGTTCAGAGAGTGCAGGGGGTTCAAAGAGTGCAGGGGGTTCAGAGTGCGCAGGGGGTTCAGAGAGTCCAGGGGGTTAAGAGAGTGCAAAGGGTTCAGAGAGTCCAAGGGGTTCAGAGAGTCCAGAGGTTTCAGAGAGTGCAGGGGGTCCAGAGAGTCCAATGGGTTCTGAGAGTGCAGGGGCCTAGAGAGTGCAGAGGGTTCAGAGAGTGCAGGGGGTTCAAAGAGTGCAGGGGGTTCAGAGAGTGCAAGGGGTTCAGAGAGTGCAGGGGGTTCAGAGAGTGCAGGGGGTTCAGAGAGTGCAGGGGGTTCAGAGAGTGCAGGGGGTCCAGAAAGTGCAGGGGGTTCAGAGAGTGTAGGGGTTCTTAGAGTGCAGGGGTTTCAGAGAATCCACGGGGTTCAGAGAGTGCAGGGGGTTCAGAGAGTGCAAGGGGTCCAGAGAGTCCACGGGGTTCAGAGAGTGCAGGAGGGATAAGAGAGTGCAGGGGGTTCAGACAGTGCAGGGGGTTCAGTCAGTGCAGGGGTTCAGAGAGCCAAGGGGGTTCAGAGAACGCAGGGGGTTCAGAGAATGCAGGGGGTTCAGAGAGTCCAGGGGCTTCAGAGAGTGCAGGGGGTTCACAGAGTGCAGGGGGTTCAGAGAGTGTAGGGGGTTCAGAGAGTCCAGGGGGTTCAGAGAGTCCAGGGGGTTCAGAGAGTGCAGGGGGTTCAGAGAGTGCAGGGGTTTCAGAGAGTGCAGGAGGTTCAGAGAGTGCAGAGGGTTCAGAGAGTGCAGGGGGCTCATAGAGTGCAGGGGGTTCAGAGAGTGCAGGGGGTTCAGAGAGTGCAGGGGGTTCAGAGAGTGCAGGGGGTTCAGAGAGTGCAGGGGGTTCAGAGAGTGCAGGGGGTTCAGAGAGTGCAGGGGGCTCATAGAGTGCAGGGGGTTCAGAGAGTGCAGGGGGTTCAGAGAGTGCAGGGGGTTCAGAGAGTGCAGGGGGTTCAGAGAGTCCAGGGGGTTCAGAGAGTGCAGGGGGTTCAGAGAGTCCAGGGGGTTCAGAGAGTGCAGGGGGTTCAGAGAGTCCAGGGGGTTCAGAGAGTGCAGGGGGTTCAGAGAGTGCAGGGGGTTCAGAGAGTGCAGGGGGTTCAGAGAGTGCAGGGGGTTCAGAGAGTCCAGGGGGTTCAGAGAGTGCAGGGGGTTCAGAGAGTCCAGGGGGTTCAGAGAGTCCAGGGGGTTCAGAGAGTGCAGGGGGTTCAGAGAGTGCAGGGGGTTCAGAGAGTCCAGGGGGTTCAGAGAGTGCAGGGGGTTCAGAGAGTCCAGGGGGTTCAGAGAGTGCAGGGGGTTCAGAGAGTCCAGGGGGTTCAGAGAGTGCAGGGAGTTCAGAGAGTCCAGGGGGTTCAGAGAGTGCAGGGGGTTCAGAGAGTGCAGGGGGTTCAGAGAGTCCAGGGGGTTCAGAGAGTCCAGGGGGTTCAGAGAGTGCAGGGGGTTCAGAGAGTCCAGGGGGTTCAGAGAGTGCAGGGGGTTCAGAGAGTGCAGGGGGTTCAGAGAGTCCAGGGGGTTCAGAGAGTGCAGGGGGTTCAGAGAGTCCAGGGGGTTCAGAGAGTGCAGGGGGTTCAGAGAGTGCAGGGGGTTCAGAGAGTGCAGGGGGTTCAGAGAGTGCAGGGGGTTCAGAGAGTCCAGGGTGTTCAGAGAGTCAGGGGGTTCAGAGAGTGCAGGGGGGTTCAGAGAGTGCAGGGGGTTCAGAGAGTGCAGGGGGTTCAGAGAGTGCAGGGGGTTCAGAGAGTGCAGGGGGTTCAGAGAGTGCAGGGGGTTCAGAGAGTGCAGGGGGTTCAGAGAGTGCAGGGGGTTCAGAGAGTGCAGGGGGTTCAGAGAGTCCAGGGGGTTCAGAGAGTGCGGGCAGGGGGTTCAGAGAGTCCAGGGGGTTCAGAGAGTGCAGGGGGTTCAGAGAGTGCAGGGGGTTCAGAGAGTGCAGGGGGTTCAGAGAGTGCAGGGGGTTCAGAGAGTCAGGGGGTTCAGAGAGTGCGGGAAGGGGGTTCAGAGAGTGCAGGGGGTTCAGAGAGTGCAGGGGGTTCAGAGAGTGCAGGGGGTTCAGAGAGTGCAGGGGGTTCAGAGAGTCCAGGGGGTTCAGAGAGTGCAGGGAGTTCAGAGAGTCCAGGGGTTCAGAGAGTGCAGGGGGTTCAGAGAGTCCAGGGGGTTCAGAGAGTGCAGGGGGTTCAGAGAGTCCAGGGGGTTCAGAGAGTGCAGGGGTTCAGGGGAGGGTTCCAGGGGGTTCAGAGAGTCCAGGGGGTTCAGAGAGTGCAGGGGGTTTCAGAGAGTCCAGGGGGTTCAGAGAGTGCAGGGGGTTCAGAGAGTCCAGGGGGTTCAGAGAGTGCAGGGGGTTCAGAGAGTGCAGGGGTTCAGAGAGTCCAGGGGGTTCAGAGAGTGCAGGGGGTTCAGAGAGTCCAGGGGGTTCAGAGAGTCCAGGGGGTTCAGAGAGTGCAGGGGGTTCAGAGAGTGCAGGGGGTTCAGAGAGTGCAGGGGGTTCAGAGAGTCAGGGGGTTCAGAGAGTGCAGGGGGTTCAGAGAGTCCAGGGGGTTCAGAGAGTCCAGGGGGTTCAGAGAGTCCAGGGGGTTCAGAGAGTCCAGGGGGTTCAGAGAGTCCAGGGGGTTCAGAGAGTGCAGGGGGTTCAGAGAGTGCAGGGAGTTCAGAGAGAGTCCAGGGGGTTCAGAGAGTCCAAGGGGGATTCAGAGAGTCCAGGGGGTTCAGAGAGTCCAGGGGGTTCAGAGAGCCCAGGGGGTTCAGAGAGCCAAGGGGTTCAGAGAGTCCAGGAGGTTCAGAGAGTCCAGGGGGTTCAAGAGTCCAGGGGGTTCAGAGAGTCCAGGGAGTTCAGAGAGTCAAGGGGTTCAGGAGTCCAGGGGGTTCAGAGAGCCCAGGGGGTTCAGGAGAGTGCAGGGGGTTCAGAGATTCAAAAGGTTCAGAGAGTCCAAGGGTTCAGAGAGTCCAGGGGGTTCAGAGAGTCCAGGGGGTTCAGAGAGTGCAGGGGGTTCAGAGAGTGCAGGGGGTTCAGAGAGTCCAGGGGCAGGGGTTCAGGGGGTTCAGAGAGTCCAGGGGGTTCAGAGAGTCCAGGGGGTTCAGAGAGTGCAGGGGGTTCAGAGAGTGCAGGAGTTCAGAGAGTCCAGGGGGTTCAGAGAGTCAGGGGGTTCAGAGAGTCAGGGGGTTCAGAGAGTCCAGGGGGTTCAGAGAGTGCAGGGGGTTCAGAGAGTGCAGGGGGTTCAGAGAGTGCAGGGAGTTCAGAGAGTGCAGGGAGTTCAGAGAGTCCAGGGGTTCAGAGAGTGCAGGGGGTTCAGAGAGTCCAGGGGGTTCAGAGAGTCCAGGGGGTTCAGAGAGTCCAGGGGGTTCAGAGAGTCCAGGGGGTTCAGAGAGTCCAGGGGGTTCAGAGTGTCGTCAGTCATGTGCCTATGTGTAAAGATAGACAGAAGATATAGACAGAACAGGTAGACAGAAGAGATGGATAGGACAGGTAGACAAAGTAGGTAGACAGAAGAGATAGAAAAGATAGAAGAGATAGACAGAAGAGGTAGACAGAAGAGGAAGACAGAAGAGATAGACAGAATAGGTAGACTGAAGAGATAGAAGAGGTAGACAGAAGGGATAGACAGAACAGGTAGACAGAAGAGATAGACAGAAGAGATAGACAGAAGAGGTAGACAGAAGAGATAGACAGAACAGGTAGACTGAAGAGATAGAAGAGTAGACAGAAGGGGATAGACAGAATAGTAGACAGAGGAGGTTAGACAGAAGAGATAGACAGAAGAGTAGACAGAAGAGATAGACAGAACAGGTAGACAGAAGAGATAGACAGAAGAGATAGAATAGGTAGACAGAAGAGATAGAACAGATGGACCCGAGGGATGAGAAACAAGAGATGACAGAAGAGCTAGAACAGGAGAGGTAACAGAAGACGTAGACAGAAGAGATAGTCAGAACAGACAGATAAAGGAGCTAGACAGAAGAGGTAGACAGAAGAGATAGAAGAGATAGACAGAATAGGTAGACAGACGAGATAGACAGGAGAGGTAGACAGAAGACGTAGACAGAAGAGATAGACAGAAGAGGACACCAGCAGGGACTGATACACTAACACACCAGCAGGGACTGATACACTAACACACCAGCAGGGACTGATACACTACCACACCAGCAGGGACTGATACACTACCACACCAGCAGGGACTGATACACTAACACACCAGCAGGGACTGATACACTAACACACCAGCAGGGACTGATACACTAACACACCAGCAGGGACTGATACACTAACACACCAGCAGGGACTGATACACTAACACACCAGCAGGGACTGATACACTACACACCAGAGGGACTGATACACTAACACACCAGCAGGGATGATACACTAACACACCAGCAGGGATGATACACTACACACCAGCAGGGACTGATACACTACCACACCAGCAGGGACTGATACACTACCACACCAGCAGGGACTGATACACTAACACACCAGCAGGGACTGATACACTAACACACCAGCAGGGACTGATACACTAACACACCAGCAGGGACTGATACACTAACACACCAGCAGGGACTGATACACTACCACACCAGCAGGGACTGATACACTACCACACCAGCAGTGACTGATACACTACCACACCAGCAGGGACTGATACACTAACACACCAGCAGGGACTGAATACACTAACACACCAGCAGGGACTGATACACTAACACACCAGCAGGGACTAATACACTAACACACCAGCAGGGACTGATCCCCCTACTTTAAGATTCTCTCTCTATCACTGTAGATTCCAGAGTGTCATCCAGCAGCAGCAGTCAGCAAGGATATGACCGCCTGACTAGCCCCACTGTCAGCCCCACTGTCAGTCCCACTGTCAGCCCCACTGTCAGTCACTGTCCTATTGGTACTATAGCACCCAGCACTACGCCCACGACCACGCCCACGACCACGCCCGCAGCCACGCCCACGACCACGCCCATGGATGTCAATCAGACATCATCTGACTGTGAGACTGACATGAGTACATCATCTGATGACGATGGTAAGTGTACTGGATAACTAGAACCTTCAAAACAACAAGTGTCAGGGGACCAAGATTCTTCATCGACCAATTTATTATACACATTTATTAATAATATAGACATAATAACCTGTTGACTTCTTGTAGGCCTAGTTGCTAGGCCTATAAGATGTCAACAGAGACCTACGTTAACACTGATATGTTAACATTCTTATGTTAACACTCTTATGTTAACATTCTGAGGTTAACACTGTTAAGTTAACACTGTTATGTTAACACTCTTATGTTAACACTGTTATGTTAACACTGTTATGTTAACACTGTTATGTTAACACTGTTATGTTAACATTCTTATGTTAACACTCTTATGTTAACACTGTTATGTTAACACTGTTATGTTAACATTCTTGTGTTAACACTGTTATGTTAACACTGTTATGTTAACATTCTTATGTTAACACTGCTATGTTAACACTGTTATGTTAACATTCTTATGTTAACACTCTTATGTTAACATTCTTATGTTAACACTGTTCTGTTAACACAGTTATGTTAACATTCTTATGTTAACACTGCTATGTTAACACTGTTATGTTAACACTGTTATGTTAACATTCTTATGTTAACACTCTTATGTTAACATTCTTATGTTAACACTGTTATGTTAACACTATTATGTTAACACTGCTATGTTAACACTGTTATGTTAACACTGCTATGTTAACACTGTTATGTTAACACTGTTATGTTAACACTGTTATGTTAACACTGTTATGTTCACATTCTTATGTTAACACTGTTATGTTAACACTGTTATGTTAACACTGCTATGTTAACAATGTTATGTTAACACTGGTATGTTAACACTGTTATGTTAACACTGCTATGTTAACACTGTTATGTTAACACTGTTATGTTAACATTCTTATGTTAACACTGTTATGTTAACACTGTTATGTTAACATTCTTATGTTAACACTATTATGTTAACACTGTTATGTTAACACTGTTATGTTAACATTCTTATGTTAACACTGTTATGTTAACACTGTTATGTTAACACTGTTATGTTAACACTGTTATGTTAACATTCTTATGTTAACACTGTTATGTTAACATTCTTATGTTAACACTGTTATGTTAACATTCTTATGTTAACATTCTTATGTTAACACTGTTATGTTAACATTCTTATGTTAACATTCTTATGGTAACACTGTTATGTTAACACTGTTATGTTAACATTGTTATGTTAACAATGTTATGTTAACACTGTTATGTTAACAATGTTATGTTAACACTGTTATGTTAACACTGTTATGTTAACACTGTTATGTTAACACTGTTGTGTTAACATTCTTATGTTAACACTGTTATGTTACCATTCTTATTTTAACACTGTTATGTTAACATTCTTATGTTAACACTGTTATGTTAACACTGTTATGTTAACATTGTTATATTAACATTGTTACATTAACATTGTTATATTAACACTGTTATATTAACATTCTTATATTAACATTGTTATATTGTCATTATTATATTAACATTGTTATAACATTGTTAGGTTAACATTCTTATATTAACATTGTTTTATTAACATTGTTTTATTAACATTGTTAACATTATTATAATAACGTTCTTATATTAACATTGCTATATCAACATTATGTTAACATTGCTATGTTAACATTATGTTAACATGGTTATTATAGCATTCTTAAGTTAACATTGTTATGTTTACATTCTTTAGTTAACATTATGTTAACATTGTTAATGTTGTTAACTTTAACATTATGTTAACATTGTTAATATTGTTAACTTTAACATTATGTTAACATTGTTAATATTGTTAACTTTACCATTATGTTAACATTGTTAATATTGTTAACTTTAACATTATGTTAACATTGTTAATATTGTTAACTTTACCATTATGTTAACATTGTTAATATTGTTTACTTTAACATTATGTTAACATTGTTAATATCGTTAACTTTACCATTATGTTAACATTGTTATGTTAACATTGTTAATATTGTTAACTTTACCATTATGTTAACATTGTTATGTTAACATTGTTAATATTGTTAACTTTACCATTATGTTAACATTATGTTAACATTGTTAATATTGTTAACTTTACCATTATGTTAACATCGTTAATATTGTTAACTTTAACATTATGTTAACATTGTTAACTTTACCATTATGTTAACATTGTTATGTTAATATTGTTAACTTTACCATTATGTTAACATTGTTATATTAATATTGTTAACTTTACCATTATGTTAACATTGTTATGTTAATATTGTTAACTTTACCATTATGTTAACATTGTTAATATTATTAACTTTAATATTATGTTAACATTGTTATATTAATATTGTTAACTTTACCATTATGTTAACATTGTTAATATTGTTAACTTTAATATTATGTTAACATTGTTTTGTTAATATTGTTAACTTTAACATTATGTTAACATAGTTATGTTAACATTGTGTTAATATTGTTATATTAACACTGTCATATACATCAATTATTACATTGTTTACAGTGTAATTATTAACAGTTATTATTATAATTATTATTAGAATAATAATTATATTTTATTATTATTATTATTATTTATTATTATTATTTAATATTATTATTATTATTATTATTTATTTTTTTAAATTATTTATTATTTTATTTTATTTATTTTATTATTATTATTATTATTATTATTATTTATTATTATTTATATTATTAATTTATATTATTATTATTATTTTTTCTATTATTATTATTATTATTATTATTATTTATTATTATTGAATTATTATTAAACAATTACTATTATTGAAGTCAATTTCTTAATAAACTTGTTAATTATCATTAACTAACAATTCTTAGGAATCCACCTTGATAATAGACTCAAATTTCATACACATATACAACAAATTTCTAAGAAAATTTCCAAGACTGTAGGCATACTATCGAAGATACGGTACTATGTTCCACAGTCAGCCCTCCTGGCCCTATATCACTCTCTTATTTACCCCTATCTCACCTATGGAATTTGTGCATGGGGCTCAACAACAACTAACCATCTCAGACCACTAATTACCCAACAAAAGGCTGCAGTTAGAATGATAACAAATTCTCACTACAGACAGCACACTCCACCAATATTCAATACACTAAACCTACTCACCATACAAAACATCCATACTTACTATTGCACTTATTACATACATAGAACACTTAACTCTGATATTAACCCTCCCCTCAAACATCTCCTTGCCAACCTCAACAGAACACATGACCATAACACAAGGCACAGATCACTCTTTGATGTTCCTCGTGTCCATCTCACGCTATGCAAAAACTCAATGCACATAAAAGGCCCTAAAATCTGGAATTCATTACCTGTAAATATAAAAGAAACACTACCTGTTTATAAATTCAAGTCTCTTCTCAAAGATCACTTACTCACTCAAAACCAAATAAATACTGAATAACTGAACCTTATAAATTGTATATCCTATATGTTACTCACAATTATATTACACAAATGTTAAACCTAGGACCCAATCTAACTTTATTATTTTTTTAAATACACTACCTAACAGAATACTCCATACGACTGTATGTACAACAATGCATGCAACCATATGACCTGTCTTTGTAATACTCATTTGTGCTTTATAGTTATCTGTTTACAATAATGTCTCATCACTGATTACATCATTGCTTAGTTAATCTTAAGTTAATTTTAAGCCAGCCCGTAATGCTATGCATATAAGTGGCTTTGGCATGCTGCTCTTACCTGTAGTTTTTGTACCTCTGTTTGTATGCTAAAATTTCTAAGTAAACTAAATAAATTATATTTGTGACAGATGAGAAAGTGACGTGTCAAGTTTGTGAGAGAATATTTCTCACCAGGAGACTTCTTGTGTCTCACCAGGCCAGGAGGAGGCATTATGGGTGAGTGTCAGGGCCCAGGAGCTGTGTCTCAACTACTGTAACACAGGTATAACTGAGTGAGAGTGAGAGTGAGAGAGTGAGAGTGAGAGTGATACTTGTGTCTCACCAGGCCAGGAGGAGGCATTATGGGTGAGTGTCAGGGTCCAGGAGCTGTGTCTCAACTACTGTAACACAGGTATAACTGAGAGTGAGAGAGTGAGAGTGAGAGTGAGAGAGCGAGAGGAGAGTGAGAGTGAGAGTGAGAGAAAGTGAGAGTGAGAGTGAGTGAAAGTGAGAGTGAGAGAGATAGTGAGAGTGAGTGAGAGTGAGAGTGAGAGGTGAGTGAGAGTGAGTGAGAGTGAGTGAGAGTGAGTGAGAGTGAAGTGAGAGTGGATGAGTGAGAGTGAGAGTGGAGAGTGAGAGTGAGAGTGAGTGAGAGTGAGTGAGAGAGAGAGTGAGAGTGAGAGTGAGAGTGGAGTGAGAGTGAGAGTGAGAGTGAGAGCGAGAGAGAGTGAGAAGGAGAGAGTGAGAATGAGAGTGAGTGAGTGAGAGAGAGAGTGAGTGAGAGTGAGAGAGTGAGAGAGAGACAGGACTTCAGAAAATTTTGCAAGAATTGCTGACTACACCTCATGGATGAGAAGAGACAGGCAAGGGCAAGGAGGTGTTGCTGTGTGCTTCTCTAAAAGTGTACATGCCCGGCACAGTGATGTTGCCACCCCTACTTATCTTGAAATGATGTTCTTCAAGCTATGCATAAACACTAGTACTTCTGTACTAGTATGTGCAATGTACAGATCTCAGTGGCAACATAAACACTAGTACTTCTGTACTAGTATGTGCAATGTACAGATCTCAGTGGCAACATAAACACTAGTACCTCTGTACTAGTATGTGCAATGTACAGATCTCAGTGGCAACATAAACACTAGTACCTCTGTACTAGTAGGGTGCAATGTACAGATCTCAGTGGCAACATAAACACTAGTACCTCTGTACTAGCATGTGCAATGTACAGATCTCAGTGGCAACATAAACACTAGTACCTCTGTACTAGTATGTGCAATGTACAGATCTCAGTGGCAACATAAACACTAGTACCTCTGTACTAGTATGTGCAATGTACAGATCTCAGTGGCAACATAAACACTAGTACCTCTGTACTAGCATGTGCAATGTACAGATCTCAGTGGCAACATGCAGACCCCATCAACTTCCTAATGGAAAATATGGACTCCCTTCTGCTCCAACACAACTGTCAACATATCATAATTGTTGGTGACCTCAACCAGCACCTTATACAGAGGATTTTGTTAGGTAAGACACATATGCAACAGTTAGGTATCTTTATTTTGAAACGTTTCGCCTACACAGTAGGCTTCTTCAGTCGAGTACAGAAAAGTTGATAGAAGCAGAAGATACTTGAAGACGATGTAATCAGTCCATCACCCTTAAAGTTTTGAAAAAGCCTACTGTGTAGGCGAAACGTTTCAAAATAAAGATACCTAACTGTTGCATATGTGTCTTACCTAACAACCTGTCGGTATTTTATACCATTTTAATGTTCACAGAGGATTTTGATGACCTTCTTGCAGTGTCTGACATGTGAGTTGATTTTCCTACTCACATCTCTGGCTCCTCCCTTGACCCAGTAGTGAGTGATCTGGCAGAAGGTAATAGTCACTTGTCAACCCCTCGGCTATGCTGGATAATCTGACCACAAGGCTGTTTTTACGATATTTAACATCCCAACAGAACGAGGTGAGGAGTCCACACGCACAACCTGGCTATGGGAAAGAGGTAATTGGCCAGCCCTTTGTTCTGAGCTCGCCACCACCGACTGGAATGCTCTTCTCCAAGGGGATGTTGACAACCAAGTGAAAGCCTTCACTGGACACATCCTTAATCTACAACAACAACACATCCCTCACCGACAGTATGTGAGGAAGCCTACAGATCAGCCTTGGTTTGGTTTTCGTTGTAGAGAGGCTGCTACTGCTAAGTACAAGGCATGGCGAAGGTATAACAGATATCCTACCACTTATAACAGGAACTTGCACAGGCAAGCCTGTAGACATATGGGTGACGTTCAAAAGTGGGCCATTGCTAAATGGGAGGTGGACACAAAAAGAAAGTTAGCATCAGGTAGGGTAGGCTTCAAAACCTGGTGGTCCCTGGTCAAGGACAGACAAGGTTATCTGCCTGATGAACTCATTCCACCTCTAAATCGACAGGATGGGACCACCTCTACTAGTAGTCAAGAGAAAGCGGACCTCTTTGCTGAACACTTTGCTACCAAAATGCAAGTTCCTGATCCAGCAAGGGACCCTCCTTGGCTAGCTGCAAGAACTGTGTCAAAACTGTCAGTGGTGACAATAAGGCAGGAGGAGGTGCATTTCCTTCTTAAATCGCTTGACCAAGAAAAGGCTGTGGGCCCAGACAAGTTGAGCCCAAGATTGCTGAGAAGATATGCAGACCAACTAGCAGCACCTCTAACGCGCACCTTTCAGCACTGCCTAGTACAGTGTAAATGGCCCTCTCCATGGAAAGAGGCAAATGTAGTCCCAGTTCACAAAAAGAAGAGCAGAGCAGAAACCAGCAACTACAGACCAGTGTCACTCCTGTCAATCACTAGTAAGATTCTTGAGACAATAATCTCAAGACAAATGACAGAGTTTTTTGACTACCACTCACTACTTTGTGACCGTCAATATGGCTTCAGGAAAGGTTACTCTGCTGGTGATCTGTTGTTAAACCTCTCCACTAAGTGGCACCAGTCACTGGATGAATCCAAAGTCAGCTGTGTGGTAGCACTGGACATTGCTGGCGCTTTCGACCGTGTGGCACCAGGGCCTCTTGGCAAAACTTCAAGCACTGGGAATTGCAGGCTCTACGCTATGTCTCCTCGGTGATTACCTTCATGGTAGATCTCTAAGTGTAGTTCTCAATGGAACGGAATCAGCAAGACATCCTATTGGGGCAAGTGTTCCACAAGGAAGCGTGCTGGGTCCATTGTTATGGAATGTCTACTTCAACGACCTTCTTCATCTCATCCCAGAATCATATGCATATGCAGACGACTGTACACTGACATTCACTTATCCAAGAGAAGAAATGCCAGCTGCTCTAAGCTACATCAATCACCAGCTAAGAGCTAAATCAGCTTGGGAAAATAGATGGCAAGTAACATTTGCACCTGAGAAAACGCAAATGATGATCGTCTCTAGGCAACATGATGGTAATGCTGATGCAGTAGTAAGGATGAATGGGACGATGTTGGCACCTGGAGAAGAAGTTGATATCCTTGGGTGAAATTTGACTCCAAACTAACCATGAAGAACCATGTTGTAAATCTTGCAAACAAGGCAGCCAGGAAGCTTACAGCACTTCGCCGTATCTCGCATCTACTTGGCAGTATGGGTTGCAAGATCCTGTACGAGGCACAAGTACGCTCACGCCTTGAGTATACTCCACTTTCTTGGTTTTCCTGCTCCGCCCCCCCCCTCCCTCTCATCTGCGACTATTTGACAGAGTAGAGAACAGAGCAAGACGTCTCATCTCTCGCCTGGACCCATCCTGGATAGATCTGTTATTTCAGCAGAGCCTTCAACATAGGAGGGATGTGGGTGGCCTTACTGTTATGTACAAGGCCAATATTGTCAAAGTACCACACTTGGCTCCACTTCGAGGACAGCATGAAACAAGCTTTTATGCCACAAGACGGGCAGCCAGCAGCAACATCACTCCATCTGAGATCATACATACCCAGGATGACTCGAGTATGGAACACATTCGTACAGCATAATGATGTCAACGAGATAAAAAGTCAGTTGATCAAATGAAAATGCTGGCCCACAGATGGCTCCAACTTCATCCTGTTCCCTACTTGTATGTCTCATAACAATAAAAATGCTTTCAAATGAGCTGATGTAGGTAACAGCTCTTAGCTTGTCAATAAAGTTAGGAATCCTTAACCTGTAAATAGCTTGTCAATAAAGCTAGGGATCCTTAACCTTGTCAAACCCTGTGTAAAAAAAAAAGTGTGAGAGAGTAGTGTCAGGGGACCAAGACTCTTCAACACAACTTTATTCACCTTAGTAATGATTATAGTGATGATAGTAATGATGTTAATGTTTATAATTATGATAATAATAATGGTAATATTGATGTTAATAATTATAATAATGATAATATTGATGTTAATTATTATAATAATGATATTGATGTTAATGATTATAATATTGATAATAATGATAATGATTATAGTAATGATAATGGTGATAATATTGATGTTAATGATTATAATAATGATTATTGTGATAATAATAATGATAATAATGATATTAACAATAATAATTATAATGATCGCAGGTGTTCAACATGTGAGGAAGTCTTCCCGTCATTATTATCATTAATGACACATCAAGAGGCCAGCAATCATTATGATGATGATGATGATGATGATGATGATGATGATGATGATGATAACTTGTATGATCATCAAGGCAACCATCAAGAACGTGATCAATTATTATTCTTATAGTAATTATCATAATAATAACAATTATTATTATTATTATTATTAAGATATTATTATTTAAAAATAAATTTAGAATAATTAACAGTAATATATTATTATTAACCTTTTTCTGCCTAATTATTTCAATAATCTTTTAGACCTTAAAATAGGCCTATAGCTATAGTTTTTTATTTTATTTTTTAAAAAATCTGCCTAAAATAAATCTTTGATGCTCCATAAAGGCCTAAAATGGGTATAGGCCTCTAGGCATATTTATTTTTTCAGTTTTTATTATATTTGGAGGTTTTTCAAATATTTATTATATAAATAAAGACTAGAGGATAAAATGACTTTATTTAGCAGTTTAAAAATATTAATAAAGATGTAAAAAAAACATTAAAAATGTAAACACAAATTTTGAAAATGCATTTCTAAGAAATAACAAGAATTTTATTTTAGCAATAAAATCCAAAATTAAGGCAAAAACCAGTTAATTAAATTGAAATCTAAATAAAATAATGGATGTTATTATTTTTGCTTTATTAATAAATTTATATTTTCATTGAGAATAGAAATAATAATGGAGATATTTTTTTTTAAGTTTTTAAATAAATCAATAAAAATAGAAAAGGAACAGTAAAAATATAGCAAATTATTTTAAAGAACGTTAAAAATTCAGTAAAAATATAATAACATTAATAAAATTTTGGATAAAACTGCGAGTGTGGAAACCATAAATTCGTCTTTCCTGGTAATAAATCAATGAAGATCAATAAAAATAAAAAGAATATAATAAAACTATGTTTTAAATTTCTTACAATCAATAAAAATTAAGTAAAAAGTTAATAAAATATAAATATAATTGTTAAAATCAATCATCTATTCCACTTTTATGTTAATAAATGCGTAAAAATAACAAAGACGGTAAAAACGTAGTAAAAACACGTCAAAATTAAATCAAAATCGGTAAAAATACGATAAAAATCAATAAAATCCGAGAGATGCGCAAGGCGATTCTCAGCGCTGGACGCTGATTGGCCGAGAGGCTGGCCTTCCCGCACGCTGATTGGCGGAGACTCGTGTGTGAGGTGGGCGCTGATTGGTCAGTTTAAACTGAGCTTCCCAGAAGGTAAACAAGACGATCATCAGGAAGAACAACACCACAACATCAACTTATAACAAGATTTTCACACCTAAATAATGGACCAGTCGAGGTAAATTATAGCGCAGATTATAGAAGAATTATCAGGGTATAATTGGAGATAATTTGGGTGATCTATAATTATATTTTAATGGAGAAATGATGTAAATAAGGGAGGTGGGTGACCGCCTTCCTCTTGGGAGATAAAAATGGCTTAATTTTCCAGCAACGAGAAATGAAAACGATTTTCACCCTAAATAATGAAGCAGTCGAGGCAATTTATAGCACAGATTATAGCTGAATTATCCTGGTATAACTTGATATAACTATAATAACCTGTAATTGTGTTTTAAGGGAGAAATAAGCCGTTAAATGAGGATAATTTTTAGTCGGGAAAAATGGCTCAGGTCGCACAATAATGCCAAAAAAAGGCTTTTTTTCTGAAAATTAGACCAATATAAGTAAATTACCTATAATCCTTGATTGTACATTGTATTATAGGTTAAGGTAATTGACGCAACAGATTATTTTAGATTAAAAGGTTTTTATACGGGAGAAAATGGCTCAGCTGGTCATTAAATTATCTTTATTTAAATAATTGTTGGTCACTAAAGGAACTTTATTTTAATGACTCACTAAATGGACTTTATTACTTAAATGGCTCAGGTTAAGATTATTTTATCAGAAGTTATCTAGATTTCTGTCTCGACTAATAATTCAATAATTTTGATATAATTTGTGTTTAATAATTTGGCTATTTGCTAAAATTTGGTTATAATTGGCTATAATAATTTGGTTATAATTGGCTATAATTTGGTTATAATTAGCTATAATTAGGTTATAATTGGCTATGATAATTTGGTTGTAATTGGCTGTAATAAATTTGGTATAATTTGGCTATAATAACTTGGGTATAACTTGTGTATTATAATAACTTGGGCATAATAATTTAGGTATAACGCATAATAATTTGAGTATAATTAATATTATAATTAATATTATAATTAATATTAACTTGAGTATAATAATAATTTGGGTATAATAATTTTACAAGACTGAGGGACTGACCCCTTCAACACTCTTGTAAGACTGAGGGACTGACCCCTTCAACACTCTTGTAAGACTGAGGGACTGACCCCTTCAACACTCTTGTAAGACTGAGGGACTGACCCCTTCAACACTCTTGTAAGACTGAGGGACTGATCCCCCTAAGCACCACAAGTCCCAGGAACTGACCCCATCACCACCACAAGACCGAGGGACTGACCCCCCCTTCCCCCTTCAACACCACAAGTGCCAGGGACTGATCAACACCACAAGTGCCAGGGACTGACCCCCCACCCCCCTTCAACACCACAAGTGCCAGGGACTGACCCCCCTTCAACACCACAAGTGCCAGGGACTGACCCCCCTTCAACACCACAAGTGCCAGGGACTGACCCCCTAGACACTATTATAATATTGACTCCTTCAAACCCTGCAGGTACAAGCAACGTGCGCTACAGTTCAGCTCATCTGGTGACAGCCGTGCCCTGCGTGCCCTGCAGTCGCAGGATGGCTGGCGTAGGCAGCGCTTCGATGTCGTCACTCGTCGTCGCAGGATCGCCGTCAACGACAACTCAACCACCACCTTTCCTCGGGTCAAGGATGACAACTTCAAGCAGGAACAGTTGCTGCTGCGCAAGAAGCGGTTGGAACAAGGCAGTGAGGAACGCTTTCTCTCGTTCTTTATCGCGTTTTACTGAGCTGTTTACACTTGTCGTTCTTTAAATTACATTTAGGCTTGACTTTTTTTTTTAAATTACATTCCAGTGAATTGCTTAAACTTGAAGAATGTTTAGGCTCTACCATCATTCTTTATATGACGTTCAACTTAGGCCTGCCGATGTTCTGTCTTCTAAAATCACTGAACGAAACTGTTCCAGATTCTTTTATTGAGGAGAACTTTCCTTTCCAGTTGAACGTTACCAGCAGTTGCTGAAGTGGAAGGCGGCCAAGAAGAAGATGCTCGAGCACGAGAAAAAGAAGCGCAAGCCTTCCTTCAAGACTGGGGTCTTCCAGCCTGAACTCCCCAAGTTCCTGGTCTCCAGTGATGGCTGTGACCTGGTGCGTTCTTAAGCTTTTTGCTGTCGAGACCCCAGCTCTCAATCTTGCTCTTAGGGTCGTGACCCCTGCTGTTAATCTTGCTCTCAGGGTGACCCCTACTCTCAGACTTGCTCTCAGGGTCGAAGAATTTATTAAAAAATTTTATGAAATGGTAGAAAATCTTTTTCCAAAGGTAACAAAACCAGAGGTACATAATTTGATGGAAAACTTAGGGAATTATGCTCTTGCAGAGTTATCGGTCTGTTTTGCACTGGTGATTTCACCTACATTGTGCTCTATTTTTTGCCAATTCCAGTGTTCCAGTCCACCAAACTCGGCTAGTATTCCTTCTATCAATTGAGTACAAAAAGTCGCCCATTTATCTATTTCAACTACCCAATAAAGTGGTCAGAAATTTGTAATTTGGCCAATTTCACACAAAATTCAGCAATTCCCAGTTTGAAAATAGGGTCCAGAATAAGCAATGTAGACATTTCTGGCACTAAATAAACATTTTATCTGTTCTTTAGGTACGTCTCCAGGCTCCCCAGGCCTCCCTAGGCCTCCCAGTGGAACTGGCCTAAAACAGCCCTTAAAGTGGACAAAATCACTGGTGCATAAATTGTGCTACCAATTTGCGCTGATGTAATTCCAAAAATTTTACACTGAATTTCATAATTGGAATTGTTGCTACAGAAAAAAATTGTCAATCATTTCATAGGAAATTTTTAGGGGTGGATGGAGGGGGGGGTATTTTGGACCCCGAGAAGAAATTTCAGATCAGGCGTCAGTGCTGTGATCCCCTTGTGGGTTTAGCGCTTATTTTTAATTATAATAATGTACAACACTGGGTATACTTCTGAGTATTTAATATTCTAATGTACTCCATGGGGTATACTTCTGGGTATACCTCGGTATACTCCAGTATACCCCATTGTACCTCTGGGTATACCCACAATACACCTCTGGGTATACCCCAGTGTATTTTTGGGTATACCCCAATGTACTTCTGGGTATACCCCAGTATACCTCTGGGTATACCCCCCAGTGTTCCTCTGGATATACTCCCCAGTGTTCCTCTTAGATACCCCCAGTGTACCTCTGGGTATACCCCCAGTGTACCTCTGGGTATACCCCCAGTGTACCTCTGGGTATACCCCCAGTGTACCTCTGGGTATACCCCCAGTGTATCTCTGGGTATACCCCCAGTGTACCTCTGGTATACCCCCAGTGTACCTCTGGGTATACCCCCAGTGTACCTCTGGGTATACCCCCAGTGTACCTCTGGGTATACCCCCAGTGTACCTCTGGGTATACCCCCAGTGTACCTCTGGGTATACCCCAGTGTACCTCTGGGTATACCCCCCAGTGTACCTCTGGGTATACCCCCAGTGTACCTCTGGGTATACCCCCAGTGTACCTCTGGGTATACCCCCAGTGTACCTCTGGGTATACCCCCAGTGTACCTCTGGGTATACCCCCAGTGTACCTCTGGGTATACCCCCAGTGTACCTCTGGGTATACCCCCAGTGTACCTCTGGGTATACCCCCAGTGTACCTCTGGGTATACCCCCAGTGTATCTCTGGGTATACCCCCAGTGTACCTCTGGGTATACCCCCAGTGTACCTCTGGGTATATCCCCCAGTGTACCTCTGGGTATACCCCCAGTGTACCTCTGGGTATACCCCCAGTGTACCTCTGGGTATACCCCAGTGTACCTCTGGGTATACCCCCAGTGTACCTCTGGGTATACCCCCAGTGTACCTCTGGGTATACCCCCAGTGTACCTCTGGGTATACCCCCAGTGTACTTAAGAACATAAGAACGAAGGAACACTGCAGCAGGCCTACTGGCCCATGCGAGGCAGGTCCAAGTCTCCTACCAGCTTAAGCCAATGCACCCAACCTAGTCAGGTCAGGTAACATTGACTTAAGGGAGGAACACGGCAACCGTCCTGGTAGCACAAGCTAATCAGGTCCAACTCACACCCACCCACACCCACTCATGTATTTATCTAACCTATTTTTAAAGCTACACAATGTTCTGGCCTCTATAACTGTACTTGGGAGTTTGTTCCACTCATCCACAACTCTATTACCAAACCAGTACTTTCCTATATCCTTCCTGAATCTGAATTTTTCTAACTTAAAACCATTGCTGCGAGTCCTGTCTAGGCTAGATATTTTCAGCACACTATTTACATCCCCTTTATTTATTCCTGTCTTCCATTTATACACCTCAATCATATCCCCCCTAATTCTACGTCTTTCTAGAGAGTGAAGATTCAGGGCCCTTAGTCTATCCTCATAGGGAAGGTTTCTGATACATGGGATCAACTTTGTCATCCTCCTTTGTACATTTTCCAGAGCATTTATATCCATTCTGTAATACGGTGACCAAAACTGTGCAGCATAATCTAAATAAGGCCTAACCAAGGATGTATAGAGTTGAAGAACAACCTGAGGACTCCTATTATTTATGCTTCTTGATATAAAGCCAAGGATTCTATTAGCTTTATTGCGAACACTTATGCACTGTTGTCTTGGTTTCAGATTACTGCTAACTAGAACTCCTAAATCTTTTTCGCAATCCGTAATATTAAGATCTACATTATTTAGTTTATATGTGGCATGGTTATTGTCCTGTCCAACATTTAGAACTTTGCATTTGTCTATATTAAACTGCATCTGCCACCTCTCCGACCACTGCATCAGTCTACTCAAATCTTCCTGGAGTGCTCTAATGTCCTCGTCAGAATGAATTCGACGGCCTATTTTGGTGTCATCGGCAAACTTGCTGATGCCGCTCTTTATGCCCTCATCTATGTCGTTTATGTAGATTGTGAACAGCAGGGGGCCCAACACTGACCCCTGTGAAACACCGCTTGTGACGCTTCCCCACTCTGATTTCTCCCCATTTATGCAAACTCTCTGCTGCCTATTTGTCAACCATGCCTCTATCCATGAAAAAAATTTCTCCTCCTATTCCATGTGCCTTAATTTTCCTCAATAGTCTCTGATGTGGGACCCTGAAGTCCATGTACACAATATCATATTCATTACCATGATCTACCTCAAATACCTTAGTGAAAAAAGTTAACAAATTCGTAAGGCAGGAACGCCCCTTTGTAAAACCATGCTGAGATTCGTTGATTAATTTATGCTTTTCAAGGTGGCTACGAACTGCCTCGGCAATTATTGATTCCATAAATTTTCCCACTATGGAGGTTAGGCTTACTGGTCTATAGTTTGAAGCTAAGGACCTGTCACCTGCTTTGAAAATAGGTATCATATTTGCCATTTTCCACTTATCTGGCACCATGCCAGTTTGTAGTGATATGTTGAAAAGATTAGCCAAAGGTTTGCTAAGCTCCTCTTTACATTCCTTTAGAACCCTTGCATACAGTTCATCAGGGCCTGGGGATTTGTTAGGTTTTAATTTATCTATTTGCCTAAGGACCATGTCACTTGTGACCCTAATCGTGCACAGTTTATTATCGTCCTGTTCCACATAATTTATCATTTCTGGAATATCGCTGGTATCCTCCTGTGTAAAAACTGAGAGGAAGTATGTGTTAAAACTTCTACACATTTCCTTATCACTGTCAGTGAGCTGACCCGAGGAACTTTTGAGTGGGCCTATCTTGTCCCTGATCTTACTTCTGTATACCTGAAAGAATCCTTTTGGGTTAGTCTTCGAATCTCTTGCAACTTTAACCTCATAATCTCTTTTTGCTTTTCTAATTCCTTTTTTTCTCTCTCTCTTTAACTGAATATATCAATTTCTTAATTGCCCCTCTCCTCTTTTGATTTGCCTATATATGCCTCTCTTTTGACCAATTAGTTATTTTAATCTATTGTTCATCCATTTAGGATAATTTTTGTTTGATCTGATTTCCCTATTTGGAACATAATTTGACTGAGCAGCTAGAACTATGCCCTGGAAAGCGTCATATCGGCATCCATCACCACCTACCTGACCCTTAGTCAGGTCATTCCAGTTCAGCCCACCTAAGTAATTTTTCAGTCCTATGAAATCAGCCAAGCGGAAGTCAGGGACAGAGACTTGATTGCCATTATTAGGGGAATTCCATGATATATTAAAACTGAGTGATTTGTGGTCACTTTCCCCAAGCTCATCATTAACCTCAAGATTATTAATTAGTGTTTCCCTACTGGTAAGAACCAAGTCAAGGAGGTTATTTCCCCTAGTTGGCTCTGTCACAAACTGTTTTAAAAAACAATCCTGGATCGTATCAAGAAAGTCACCTGACTAAATTTCCTGTCAAATTGCTCCAGTCAATCTGTCTATAGTTGAAATCTCCCATTAGCACAACATTTTCGTTTGTAGATGCCTTACGAATTTCATCCCATAGAAGTTTACTGCACTCCCTATCAAGATTTGGGGCCCTGTAAATCACACCCAAAATTAGTTTTTCTCGGTCCTCGAGAAGCTGTAACCAAACAGATTCAGTGGCTGACGCTTCTAATTTTATATCTTGTCTAACACAACAATTCAAATTGTCTCTGACATACATCGCTACTCCACCACCTTTCCTGTTGACCCTGTCAGTGTGGAATAATTTATAGCCTTGTATGTGACATTCAGAGGGCATCTCTCTATCTTTCAGATTGAGCCAGGTCTCTGTTATAGCAATAATATCTATGTTTCCTGCACTTGCAATTAATCTTAGCTATTAGTATAGTAAACCTTAAGGGAGCTAGTCCCTTGCTGCCCTCTGCTGTCCCCCTTTGTTTGCTGACCTGATCTATTGTTTTTATTTATAACTTCATGCTGAATGCCTTTTATACATTTACTGTTTCGAATCCTAGTGTTGCAACCTGCTTGTTTCCCACACACACCCATACCTCTATCTTCTACCAGTTTAAAATCATAGGCATTTCACCAATGGCCTTCTCAATCGAGTCTGCAAGTGCTACCACCCCAGCCCCAGAGAGATGTACCCCATCCCTTGCATACATATCATGTTTGCCATAAAAGTTGTTCCAGTTGTCAATGAATGGGATTGCAAGTTCCTTGCAGTATCTGTCTAGCCAGCAATTTACACCAATTGCCCTAGACAACCATTCATTTCCTACTCCCCTTCTAGGCAAGATGCTACATATGATTGGGATCCCTCCCTTAGACTTAATGAAAGCTATAGCTGACCTGTACTTATCTAGCAGCTCTTCTCTCCTACCCTTCCCAATATCATTTCCACCAGCACTGAGACAGATAATGGGCTTGTTCCCATTACCTGACATAATATTATCCAGCCTGTTGACTATGTCCCCAACACCAGCTCCAGGGAAGCACACACTATCTCTCATCATCTTATTCCTATTACAAAAAGCACGGTCAATATATCTTACCTGAGAGTCACCAACCACAAGAATGCGCTTACCTCCATTAGCAGGGGCAGTAGTACCCTTACCTTCACTGGCCACTGAAGTGCATTCATCCTGAAGAACAGAGAAGCGATTTCCTACCTTCAGATCTTCACTCTTAACTTTCCTTACTCTGATACGCCTCCCATTACTGTGAACCACTCACCACTTGTAGCAGGTGCTGGGCTGCACCTCACTGCTGGTAGCCGTTGCTACCTCCCCACCTACAGCCTCCTCACAGCGAGAGACAGACTGCACCTCACTGCTAGAAGCCTCATTCCCCACAACTCCAGCCACCTCACACTCTCTCCCAGACCCATTGAGGTGGACCTTCAGCCTCCTAATCTCCTCCTGGAGAAGCAAGACCTCCTCCTTCAACTCTCCAACCTCAATTTTTAAAACACTGCAGAAGCAAGCCATGCTTTGTAACCGTCCACGCTAATCCCCAAAGCAGCTCAGGGTCTGTGACCTCACGTGACGACTGACCACTGACGGTATATCCCAGCAATATGACAGCAGTAATGTTATATTTTATAGGTAAATGTTTAAAAAATCAGAAAATGCCTCTGAATGCTCTGAAATTCAAAAATATTAAAGAAAATATCTTTGCTTGCTTGTCCCCACTGCTTAATTGGACCAGTAAACAGAATTATTCAGTAAAGGCATTGTTTGCTTGTTCTCACTGCTTAATTGGACCAGTAAACAGAATTATTCAGTGAAGACATTGTTTGCACTTGTTCTCACTGCTTACTCTATCCATTAAAACAATACCACTAGTTCTGCGTAGTTGGTCGCTATGACAACATTTTTGTTTCAGGGGAAGAGTGTGGGTGAAACCCCAGGCAAGAAGACCCCATTTAAGTACCTGGTAAGTTCCTCCAAGAAGTCTGGCATAGCTCCTGGCCCCTCTGGGCACAAGCCAGTGTTCCACACTGGTGGCACGCCCAGCACAGTATTTCCAAAGTTCTACTCTGGGGTCACGCCCAGTACAGGGCTTTCCAGGGGTCCGAAGTTCCACTCTGGGGTCACGCCCGACGCATCGCGGCCGCATGGGGTCACGACTGGTGCCCGGCGAATCGTCACACCTGACGACATACTCAGGAGGGACAAAATCTTGTCCCGTAGATCACTGAAACCCAGGAGAGAGAAGAATGCTTCAAGAGATGGACTGGTGTTGACCCAGGCAGCTAGATCAGGTAGGTGATCCCTAGGGTAGGGTGTGTGGTCCCTAGGATAGGGTGTGTGGTCCCTAGGATAGGGTGTGTGGTCCCTAGGGTAGGGTGTGTGGTCCCTAGGGTAGGGTGTGGTCCCTAGGGCAGGGTGTGTGGTCCCTAGGGCAGGGTGTGTGATCCCTTGGGTAGGGTGTATGGTCCCTAGGGTAGGGTGTGTGGTCCCTAGGGTAGGGTGTGTGGTCCCTAGGGTAGGGTGTGTGGTCCCTAGGGTAGGATGTGTTGTCCCTAGGGCGTGCGGCCAGCAGTAACAGCCTAGTTGATCAGGCCCTGATCCATCGGGAGGCCTGGTCATGGACCGGGCCGCGGGGGCGTTGATCCCCGGAATAACCTCCAGGTAACCTCCAGGTAGGGTGTGTGGTCCCTAGGGTACCTGGAGGTTATTCCGGGGATCAACGCCCCCGCGGCCCGGTCCATGACCAGGCCTCCCGATGGATCAGGGCCTGATCAACTAGGTTGTTACTGCTGGCCGCACGCATTTCAACGTACGAGCCACAGCCCGGCTGATCCGGCACTGACTTTAGGTATCTGTCCAGCTCTCTCTTGAAGGCAGCCAGGGGTTTATTGGCAATTCCCCTAATGCTTGATGGGAGGCTGTTGAACAGTCTTGGGCCCCGGACACTTATGGTGTTTTCCCTTAGTGTACCAGTGGTGCCCCTACTTTTAATTGGGGGCATTTTGCATCGTCTGCCCAGTCTTTTACTTTCGTAGGGAGTGATTTCTGTGTGCAGGTTTGGGACCATTCCTACCAGGATTTTCCAATTGTAGATTATGATGTATCTCTCCCTCCTGTGTTCCAACGAGTACAAGTCAAGTGCTTCCAGCGTTCCCAGTAGTTAAGGTGCTTGACAGAACTTATATGTGCAGGAAAGGATCTCTGTACACTCTAGATCTGCGATTTCACCTGCTTTGGATGGAGATGTTAATGTACAGCAGTATTCCAGCCTAGAGAGAAGTGATTTGAAAAGGATCATCATTGGCTTGGCATCTCGCGTTTTGAACGTTCTCATTATCCATCCTATCATTTTCTTTGCACGTGCGATCGTGGCACTGTTGTGATTTGAGATCCTCAGAAATTACTACTCCCAAGTCCCTTACATTATTTTTCCGCTCTACTGTATGGCCCGAGTTTGTAGTATACTCTGTTCTAGTTATTATTTCCTCCAGTTTTCCATAACGGAGTAGTTGGAATTTGTCCTCATTGAACATCATATTGTTTTCCATTGCCCACTGGAAAACTTTGTTTATATCTTCTTGGAGGTTAACCGCGTCCTCAGCAGATGACAGCCTTATGCAGATCCTAGTATCCGCGAAGGATGATACGGTGCTGTGATGTATATCTCTGTCTATGTCTGATATGAGGATGAGGAATAAGATGGGGGCAAGTACTGTGCCTTGTGGAACAGAGCTCTTCACTATGGCAGAGTCTGATTTAACTCTGTTGACCACTACTCTTTGTGTTCGATTTGTTAGGAAGTTGAAGATCCATCTCCCCACTTTCCCAGTTATTCCTTTAGCACGTATTTTATGGGCTATTACGCCATGATCGCATTTGTCAAATGCTCTTGCAAAGTCTGTGTATATTACATCTGCATTCTGATTTTCTTCCAGTGCATCCAAGGCCATATCATAGTGATCCAGTAGTTGTGAGAGGCAGGAGCGACCTGCCCTGAACCCATGTTGCCCTGGATTGTGCAGATTTTGGGAATCCAGGTGATTTGCAATCCTGCTTCTTAGCACTCTTTCAAAGATTTTTATGATGTGGGACGTCAGAGCTATTGGTCTATAGTTCTTAGCTAATGCTTTGCTGCCACCTTTATGGAGTGGGGCTATATCCATTGTTTTTAAGTGACTCGAATTTCACCCATGTCCAAGCTTCTCCTCCATAGTGTACTTAGGGCACGCATGAGGGGTTTCTTGCAGTTCTTGATGAAAACAGAGCTCCACGAGTCTGAGCCCAGGGCTGAGTGTATGGGCATGTTGTCAATGGCTTTTTCAAAATCTATCGGAGTTAGGGTAATGTCGGAAATCTGGCATACATTTATGGAGTTTTGAGGCTCATTCATGAAGAAATCATTTAGGTCGTCGATCCCCAGACTGATTAGTGGTTCACTAAACACAGAGTCGTACTGGGATTTCAATATTTCACTCATTTCCTTGTTGTCATCTGTGTAAGTCCCATCCTGTCTGAGTAAGGGCCCGATACTAGATGTGGTATTTGTCTTGTTTTTTGACATATGAAAAGAAATATTTTGAATTTCTTTCAATTTCACTAATAGCTTTAAGCTGCTCCTTGTTCCTGTAAGAGTCGTTTAACTTAAGTTCGATAGTTTCCACTTCCCTGGTCAGCGCCTCCTTTCGTGTATCAGATATTCTAGCACTCCTGAGGAGCCCTGACTCTTCGTCGTCTTCTGTAGAGGGAGCGTCTTTCTCTCTCCAGTTTACTCCTGCTCTTCTTTCTTAGGGGAATATGCCTAGAACATGCTTCAGCTGCCAGGAAGTTGATCCTTTCAAGGGTTTGGATCCATGTCATTTAAGATATCTTCCCAACATGTTTCGTTTAGGACATGGTTTACCTGGTCCCAGTTGATGTTCTTGTTGTTGAAGTTGTATTTTGTGAAGACACCTTCACAGGTACATGCATTCTGCTGATCAGGACCCCTATGCATGTGCGTCTGGACTTCGATTAGGTTGTGATCGAAATTAGTTATTTTTTATATTCTTATGTCTTATCAGGTCCTCATTATTTGTGAAGATAAGGTCAGGTGTGTTTTCTAGTCTTGTTGGCTCCACTATCTGCTGGCTTAAGGTGTGTTTTTCGCAGAGGCTTACTAGCTCATGTGTGTGAGACCTGTCATCTGCGCTACCTCCGGGGATTGTTTCAGCTGTAACATTATTCACTACATTCTTCCATTTTGTATGCCTTAGATTGAAATCACCAAGCAGTAAAATGTTTAGGGATGTAGGTGGAAGGCTTTCCAGACAGTAATAAATTTTCAGTAGCTGTTCCTTGAACTGTTGAGAGGTTGCATCTGGTGGCTTATATACAACCACAATGACTAGGTTTTGGTTCTCGATCTTTATTGATAGAACCTCAACTACCACATTTGTGGTGTTCAGCAACTCAGTGCAGATGAGGGACTCTTTGACATACAGGCCAACCCCCCCTTGTTGCCTGTTCATTCTGTCACATCTAAAAAGGTTGTAACCACTTACCCATATTTCACTGTCAAAGTGATCTTTTGTGCGAGTCTCTGTGAAGGCTGCAAACATTGCATTAGACTCCTCTAGAAGTCCACTGATAAAAGGTATTTTGTTGTTGGTGGATGGCTTAAGGCCCTGTATATTAGCAAATATGAAAGAGGTTGTATTCTGTGTTTGTTGGGGGGATTTTGTTATTGGCATCAGTAGTTGTAATTCTGGAGGGCCATGGGTGGCCACTGGCTGTGCCTCCAGTCCAACAAGGCTCCAAGGTGGTGGACTATTTTTGTTATTTCCTTCCATTTTCTTTTTCCGTTTCCTGCCACTAAAAAATCACCTGGAGTTGGGTTGTCATAGCTACTATTGTTTGTCTTGTGGGGTCTGTGCCTCCTGGTCCCTTTTAGATGGTATGCAGGGCAGTCGATGTTTTAATACTGCTTCTGGAGGACCGAGGAGTGACATTTTTGGGTGGAAGAAAGTACAGGAAGAAGAACGACACACTCCTTTAGACAGGAGGTTGCTACATTTTTTGGGATGGTCAAAGTTGCATGTCCCATTTTTTTTTTCCTGATATTCCATGCTTACAGATGCCCCAAGCATAATATTTGCACAAATTTACCTTCGGTTGAGAATTGTTGGGAGGTGTGTTGTCAATTTCTGCAGGTTCTGGGACTGCACTATAATCCTCAGTATCCAAGCCAGGGCCACCCCGTCCTGGATTCCATCTACTTTCCTCAGTAGAGGAAGGAGGAGACTCCTCTCCAACATCTGTACTGTGGGCCACAGTCTTGTGCAATGATGGTTGTATATTTACTGTTTTAGTGGTGGTTGTGGTAGGGTCCCTAGTAGAGTCGGGGCTGGCAGTAAGGCTGGGGGCTGGGTCTGAGTCAGCACTGGGGCTGGGGGCTGAGCCTGGGCCAGCACCAGCACTGTGGGTATTAGTGCTATGACTGGGGGATGGGTCTGGTTTAGCACTATGTGGGTGACTAGATAGTTTCGAGTCATTTGTTGTGGTATGGACATTCTGCATTTTTTGATACACTATCTCTTGCTCCCATGTTTTATATATTTTTGGTAGACTATCCAAAAGGTCATCTTTGTTTTCTTGATTATTTTTATCATTTATTACTCTCCTTAGTACCTTTCTGATACCTGCCCAAAGTTCTACATCTTTATTGCACAACCAGAAGCACCTTGCTAGTTCAAGGTCATTTTTTGAGGCTGTATTTAGTCTAGTACAAGAGATATGGTGTTTGGAAAAGCATAGATTGCAGGTGATTCTGGATTTCATTCCAAGGATTCTTTTACATGTCCCACAGATATGCTGTGCTGACATCCTGTCTGTATCCTACTACACTGTATGCCACGGAAGAAAACTGATTTCCACTTTACCTTTCTCTTGCTGGTGCCAGTAATATGCAAGATGTATTTATACGAACCAAGTTTGCAGTATGTGGGTGGTGGTGTAGGGTGGGTGGTGGTGTAGGGTGGGTGTGAGGGCAAGACTTACCCCCACTGCCACACCACTATTATTTTTATTATTATTATTATTATTTAATTTCCTTTTATGTAGGGTGTGTGGTCCCTAGGGTAGGGTGTGTGGTCCCTAGGGTAGGGTGTGTGGTCCCTAGGGTAGGGCATGTGGTCCCTAGGGTAGGGCGTGTGATCCATAGGGTAGGGTGTGTGGTCCCTAGGGTAGGGTGTATGGTCCCTAGGGTAGGGTGTGTGGTCCCTAGGGTAGGGTGTGTGGTCCCTAGGGCAGGGTGTGTGGTCCCTAAGGCAGGGTGTGTGGTCCCTAGGGTAGGGTGTGTGGTCCCTAGGGTAGGGCATGTGGTCCCTAGGGTAGGGTGTGTGATCCATAGGGTAGGGTGTGTGGTCCCTAGGGTAGAGTGTGTGGTCCCTAGGGTAGAGTGTGTGGTCCCTAGGGTAGGGTGTGTGGTCCCTAGGGCAGGGTGTGTGGTCCCTAGGGTAGAGTGTGTGGTCCCTAGGGTAGGGTGTGTGGTCCCTAGGGCAGGGTGTGTAGTCCCTAGGGCAGGGTGTGTGGTCCCTAGGGCAGGGTGTGTGGTCCCTAGGGTAGGGTGTGTGATCCATAGGGTAGGGTGTGTGGTCCCTAGGGTAGGGTGTATGGTCCCTAGGGTAGAGTGTGTGGTCCCTAGGGTAGGGTGTGTGGTCCCTAGGGCAGGGTGTGTGGTCCCTAGGGTAGGGTGTGTGATCCATAGGGTAGGGTGTGTGGTCCCTAGGGTAGGGTGTATGGTCCCTAGGGTAGAGTGTGTGGTCCCTAGGGTAGGGTGTGTGGTCCCTAGGGCAGGGTGTGTGGTTCCTAGGGCAGGGTGTGTGGTCCCTAAGGCAGGGTGTGTGGTCCCTAGGGTAGGGTGTGTGGTCCCTAGGGCAGGGTGTGTGGTCCCTAGGGCAGGGTGTGTGGTCCCTAGGGTAGGGTGTGTGATCCATAGGGTAGGGTGTGTGGTCCCTAGGGTAGGGTGTATGGTCCCTAGGGTAGAGTGTGTGGTCCCTAGGGTAGGGTGTGTGGTCCCTAGGGCAGGGTGTGTGGTCCCTAGGGCAGGGTGTGTGGTCCCTAAGGCAGGGTGTGTGGTCCCTAGGGTAGGGTGTGGTCCCTAGGGTAGGGTGTGTAGTCCCTAGGGCAGGGTGTGTGGTCCCTAGGGTAGGGTGTGTAGTCCCTAGGGCAGGGTGTGTGGTCCCTAGGGCAGGGTGTGTGGTCCCTAGGGTAGGGTGTAGTCCCTAGGGTAGGGTTTTGGTAGTCCCTAGGGCAGGGTGTGTGGTCCCTAGGGTAGGGTGTGTAGTCCCTAGGGCAGGGTGTGTGGTCCCTAGGGCAGGGTGTGTGGTCCCTAGGGTAGGGTGTGGTCCCTAGGGTAGGGTGTGTGGTCCCTAGGGCAGGGTGTGTGGTCCCTAGGGTAGGGTGTGGTCCCTAGGGCAGGGTGTGTGGTCCCTAGGGTAGGGTGTGTAGTCCCTAGGGCAGGGTGTGTGGTCCCTAGGGCAGGGTGTGTGGTCCCTAGGGTAGGGTGTGGTCCCTAGGGTAGGGTGTGTGGTCCCTAAGGCAGGGTGTGTGGTCCCTAGGGTAGGGTGTGGTCCCTAGGGTAGGGTGTGTAGTCCCTAGGGCAGGGTGTGTGGTCCCTAGGGTAGGGTGTGTAGTCCCTAGGGCAGGGTGTGTGGTCCCTAGGGCAGGGTGTGTGGTCCCTAGGGTAGGGTGTGTAGTCCCTAGGGCAGGGTGTGTGGTCCCTAGGGCAGGGTGTGTGGTCCCTAGGGCAGGGTGTGTGGTCCCTAGGGCAGGGTGTGTGGTCCCTAGGGTAGGGTGTGTAGTCCCTAGGGCAGGGTGTGTGGTCCCTAGGGCAGGGTGTGTGGTCCCTAGGGCAGGGTGTGTGGTCCCAGGGCAGGGTGTGTGGTCCCTAGGGTAGGGTGTGTGATCCATAGGGTAGGGTGTGTGGTCCCTATGGCAGGGTGTGTGGTCCCTAGGGTAGGGTGTGTGGTCCCTAGGGTAGGGTGTGTGATCCATAGGGTAGGGTGTGTGGTCCCTATGGCAGGGTGTGTGGTCCCTAGGGTAGGGTGTGTGATCCCTAGGGCAGGGTGTGTGGTCCCTAGGGCAGGGTGTGTGGTCCCTAGGGTAGGGTGTGTGATCCATAGGGTAGGGTGTGTGGTCCCTATGGCAGGGTGTGTGGTCCCTAGGGTAGGGTGTGTTGATCCCTAGGGTAGGGTGTGTGGTCCCTAGGTAGGGTGTGTGGTCCCTAGGGTAGGGTGTGTGGTCCCTAGGGTAGGGTGTGTGGTCCCTAGGGCAGGGTGTGTGATCCATAGGGCAGGGTGTGTGGTCCCTAGGGTAGGGTGTGTGATCCCTAGGGTAGGGTGTGTGGTCCCTAGGGTAGGGTGTGTGGTCCCTAGGGTAGGGTGTGTGGTCCCTAGGGCATTGTGTGTGATCCCTAGGGCAGGGTGTGTGGTCCCTAGGGTAGGGTGTGTGATCCATAGGGTAGGGTGTGTGATCCATAGGGTCCAGTTATCTCTGACCTCTTAGAAATTGTAATATAATTATCATAAGCATTGGTGCGATGGTTACAGTAATTATTGTTTATTGACTTATTCACTGACACTGGTTATTTATTGACTTATTTATTTAGCATATACAGTGGTACCTCGGGATACAAACAGCTCAAAGCTTGAACAGTTATGAGAGAGTATTTATGTAAGTGTATTTTTGGGGGTCTGAAATGGATTAATCTAATTTACATTATTCATCATGGGAACAAATTCATTTGGTATCGGCACTGGAACATCCTTCTGGAACGAATTAAGTTCGTATCCCGAGGTACCACTGTATTGAAAGTGAACTTAGATAAGAGTAAAGTGATAAGGGTATCAAATGATTTAGATAATGAAAATTGGATATCACATTGGAGAGAGAGAGAGTATGGAAGTGAATGTTTCCAGATAGTATTGTCAGCAGATGGGTTTATGAAGGATGTGGTTAATCACAGAATTGATGAAGGAATAAAGGTGAGTAGTGTGTTGAGGTATATGTGGAGACACAAAACGTTATCTATGGAGGCAAAGAAGGGAATGTACGAGAGTATAGTGGTACCAACACTCTTATGTGGGTGTGAAGCTTGGGTTGTAAATGCTGCAGCGAGGAGGCGGTTGGAGGCAGTGGAGATGTCCTGTCTAAGGGCAATGTGTAGTGTAAATATTATGCAGAAAATTCGGAGTGTGGAAATTAGGAGAAGGTGTGGAGTTAATAAAAGTATTAGAGCTGAAGAGGGTTTGTTGCGGTGGTTTGGTCATTTAGAGAGAATGGATCAAAGTAGAATGACATGGAGAGCGTATAAATCTGTAGGGGAAGGAAGGCGAGGTAGGGGTCGTTCTCGAAAAGGTTGGAGGGAGGGGGTAAAGGAGGTTTTGTGGGTGAGGGGGCTTGGACTTCCAGCAAGCACGCGTGAGCGTGTTCGATAGGAGTAAATGGAGATGAATGGTATTTGGGACCTGACGATCTGTTGGAGTGTGAGCAGGGTAATATTTAGTGAAGGGATTCAGGGAAACTGGTTATTTTTATATAGCCGGACTTGAGTCCTGGAAATGGGAAGTACAATGCCTGCACTCTAAAGGAGGGGTTTGAGATATTGGCAGTTTGGAGGGATATGTTATATTTGCTTTTAAACTGTTGTATCTGGGCGCCTCTGCAAAAACAGTGATTATGTGTGAGTGAGGTGAAAGTGTTGAATGATGAAAGTATTTTCTTTTTGGGTCACCCTGCCTTGGTGGGAGACGGCCGACTTGTTGAAAAAAAAAAAATCAACTATACTGTTCTTCCCTGGATAACACTGCCAGTGAACACTAAAGAATGTTCACTATATACTAATGTTCATTGCAGAATATAACAAGGCGCTGCGGGCCAGCATACTGCGGCGTAAGAAGGCCCGGGAGCTGGAGGATGACCTTGGAGTCAACCCCCTGCCTGGAACCCCTCAAGAGGTTATCAAAAGGAGGAAGACATCAGTCCGGTCGTCGGGAGTCGTTGATGCACCGTCGTTTGCCCCGAACAACTTTGCTTTTAAGTTCAACGTAAGCCCTTTTTTTTTTATTTTTTTTTATACTATAAAAAACATCATGCGTACAGCTGCTGTTTATCCAGAATCTGTTATTAGTTTATATGACTTGAGTTGTATCATTCTCACTCATCCTTCAGAGTACTGTTACTGTACTTACCACCTCCAGTACTGTAACATTCTCACTCATCCTTCAGAGTACTGGTACTGTACTTACCACCTCCAGTACTGTAACATTCTCACTCATTCTTCAGAGTACTGGTACTGTACTTACCACCTCCAGTACTGTAACATTCTCACTCATCCTTCAGAGTACTGGTACTGTATTTACCACCTCCAGTACTGTAACATTCTCACTCATCCTTCAGAGTACTGGTACTGTACTTACCACCTCCAGTACTGTAACATCCTCACTCATCCTTCAGAGTACTGGTACTGTACTTACCACCTCCAGTACTGTAACATTCTCACTCATCCATCAGAGTACTGGTACTGTACTTACCACCTCCAGTACTGTAACATCCTCACTCATCCTTCAGAGTACTGGTACTGTACTTACCACCTCCAGTACTGTAACATTCTCACTCATCCTTCGGAGTACTGGTACTGTACTTACCACCTCCAGTGCTGTAACATTCTCACTCATCCTTCAGAGTACTGGTACTGTACTTACCACCTCCAGCACTGTAACATTCTCACTCATCCTTCAGAGTACTGGTACTGTACTTACCACCTCCAGTACTGTAGCATCCTCACTCATCCTTCAGGGGGGAGTGTGGGATTATATTTTTTTTTTTTTTTTGTTTTCAACCGATTTATTTTATTTTTGGTGTACTTTTAGAGGTGCATATATAGTTTAATGTGACGAAGTTTCAGTATGATTGGCCAACAAACAACATAGAAAAAAAATATTAACATAATTTTGATATATGGCAGCATCCCCTGACAAATTGGCACTATGAGTGGCACTTCCGACATTTCCAACTGTTAGAATACAACTAGCACGAATTTTTTACGTTGCCATTTCATCTAATATATCTTATTATCATGGTAAAAAAAATACATTTGACAGAATTTTTGGCATTCACCAAAATATCTGCCTTTTACCCCCACAAAATCAAAAATATTTGAGATATTCCAAAAAATCCATCGTTAAAAATTAAAACACACACTTTGTTTTATATTGTCTGTGAAAATCATTTCAATACAATCATTAATAATGGTTGAGGTCCGCGAAATAAGTGAAATAAGTTACTTCCGAGATATAGGCCTAGAACGCCGGTAGGCCTACCGTCAAAAAAAAAAAATTTTCTTTTTTTCGCGAAAATCGCGTTTGTTTCGGTGTATTTCTTGGTAAACTGATGTTCTAGTGCAGTTATCCTCTTCAAAAACGTCGTTTTCTCCCCACAGACCAAACAATACAACATGGAGACGAGGAGTAACTTTTTTAAAATCGAAATATTGCTGGTGGACTCTCCGCTATATTATGGCCTATTTTATTCAGTCTAGAGTATATAACATGTTTGTTTGTTATTTACAGTGATTATTATATCATATTAGATCAATTCTGATAGAAAAAATAAGCCGTTTTAGTTAATATATAAGCTGATATAAGCGTAATAATGAAGTGATTTCACCTGGCACTCTCTGGAGGGGGATCACTGCCGAGTGTTACCTAGGTGCTTCCCGATAGGCTAGACGTCTATTGATAAGCTCCAACTACTCTTATATGATGCCAAATAATCAATTATTATATTAGAAAGAATAATGCGAAGAGAAAGCAATAAAAAACAAGGAAAAAATTCCAAAAAATACATAGGTTGAGAACAGACGCGCTACCTACATCGCCGCCACCATACCTGATATAAATGACTATAATTTCTTATAGAAACGTTGTAGAACATTGATTCTTGTACCATTGTGTTGCCAAAGAGTTAAGCTATTTTTCTATATGAATAACTCATTTTCATAAATTTTCGAATTTTTCTTGAGAGCGCTTGAGAGCACTCCCCCCTTCAGAGTACTGGTACTGTACTTACCACCTCCAGTACTGTAACATCCTCACTCATCCTTCAGAGTACTGGTACTGTACTTACCACCTCCAGTACTGTAACATCCTCACTCATCCTTCAGAGTACTGGTACTGTACTTACCACCTCCAGTACTGTAACATTCTCACTCATCCTTCAGAGTACTGGTACTGTACTTACCACCTCCAGTACTGTAACATTCTCACTCATCCTTCAGAGTACTGGTACTGTACTTACCACCTCCAGTACTGTAACATTCTCATTCATCCTTCAGAGTACTGGTACTGTACTTACCACCTCCAGTGCTGTAACATCCTCACTCATCCTTCAGAGTACTGGTACTGTACTTACCACCTCCAGTACTGTAACATTCTCACTCATCCATCAGAGTACTGGTACTGTACTTACCACCTCCAGTACTGTAACATCCTCACTCATCCTTCAGAGTACTGGTACTGTACTTACCACCTCCAGTACTGTAACATTCTCACTCATCCTTCAGAGTACTGGTACTGTACTTACCACCTCCAGTACTGTAACATTCTCACTCATCCTTCAGAGTACTGGTACTGTACTTACCACCTCCAGTGCTGTAACATCCTCACTCATCCTTCAGAGTACTGGTACTGTACTTACCACCTCCAGTACTGTAACATTCTCACTCATCCTTCGGAGTACTGGTACTGTGCTTACCACCTCCAGTGCTGTAACATTCTCACTCATCCTTCAGAGTACTGGTACTGTACTTACCACCTCCAGTACTGTAGCATCCTCACTCATCCTTCAGAGTACTGGTACTGTACTTACCACCTCCAGTACTGTAACATCCTCACTCATCCTTCAGAGTACTGGTACTGTACTTACCACCTCCAGTACTGTAACATTCTCACTCATTCTTCAGAGTACTGGTACTGTACTTACCACCTCCAGTACTGCAACATTCTCACTCATCCTTCAGAGTACTGGTACTGTACTTACCACCTCCAGTAGTGTAACATTCTCACTCATTCTTCAGAGTACTGGTACTGTACTTACCACCTCCAGTACTGTATCATTCTCACTCATCCTTCAGAGAACTGGTACTGTACTTACTACCTCCAGTACTGTAACATTCTCACTCATCCTTCAGAGTACTGGTACTGTACTTACCACCTCCAGTACTGTAACATCCTCACTCATCCTTCAGAGTACTGGTACTGTATTACCACCTCCAGTACTGTATCATTCTCACTCATCCTTCAGAGTACTGGTACTGTACTTACCACCTCCAGTACTGTATCATTCTCACTCATCCTTCAGAGTACTGGTACTGTACTTACCACCTCCAGTACTGTAACATCCTCACTCATCCTTCAGAGTACTGGTACTGTACTTACCACCTCCAGTACTGTATCATTCTCACTCATCCTTCAGAGTACTGGTACTGTACTTACCACCTCCAGTACTGTAACATTCTCACTCATCCTTCAGAGTACTGGTACTGTACTTCCCACCTCCAGTACTGTAACATTCTCACTCATCCTTCAGAGTACTGGTACTGTTCTTCCCACCTCCAGTACTGTAACATTCTCACTCATCCTTCAGAGTACTGGTACTGTACTTACCACCTCCAGTACTGTAACATTCTCACTCATCCTTCAGAGTACTGGTACTGTACTTACCACCTCCAGTACTGTAACATTCTCACAAGTCACCTCGCTCGCACTCCAACAGTACATTCGTTAAAAACCACAGGTTTCCACTCCTATCTAACATGCATGACTGCTTAATGTCCAAGCCCCGAAAACTTAAAACCCTTATTTATAGTTCCTCTCCTTTTTAGATGGCAGGCGGGAAGTCGTTTTCGAGTGGAACGGACAGTGCTGGCACCAGTGCCCTGGGTGCAGGCATCAACTCTGAAGATTTGCCATTTTCCAATGCCCAGATTGATGTTCCTCCACCGAATGAGGCCGGCGGTGCCCCGGAGGTGATTGACAGTCGCTTGAACGAGAGCTACACCCTCCATCCCCACGGAACGGAGTCTGCCGGAGTGACAGAGGATGAAAATGATGGAATTGAACGTAAAGTGAAGGTGTGTGAAAATGATGAGGTACAGGAGAGTGAAAATGATAAGGTACTCCCTAGGGAAGATGAGGAACGACTGCAACTAGACGAAGATGACTCTGAACCAGATGAAAGTGAACGACTACAGCTGGAGGAAGATGACATAGAACCAGATGAAAGTGAACGACTACAGCTGGAGGAAGATGACATGGAACCAGATGAAAGTGAACGACTACAGCTGGAGGAAGATGACATGGAACCAGATGAAAGTGAACAACTACAGCTGGAGGAAGATGACGCAGAACCAGATGAAAGTGAACGACTTCAGCTGGAGGAAGATGACATTGTAGAACAAAATGAAAATGACATAGAACGATATGAAAATGAACTGGAGGAAAATAATGACAAAGAACCAGATGAAAATGAACGAATACACCTACAGGAAGATGATGTACAGCCAGCTGCAGAAAATGATCAGGTACAGCCGGAAGAGGATCAGGTGCAGCTGGAAGAGTATCAGGTACAGCCGGAAGAGGATCGGGCGCAGCCGGAAGAGGATCAAGCGCAGCCGGAAGAGGATCAGGCACAGCTGAAAGAGGATCAGGTACAGCCAGAAGAGGATCAAGTACAGCCGGAAGAGGATCAGGTACAGCCGGAAGAGGATCAGGTACAGCCGGAAGAGGATCGGGCGCAGCCGGAAGAGGATCGGGCGCAGCCGGAAGAGGATCAAGCGCAGCCGGAAGAGGATCAGGCACAGCTGAAAGAGGATCAGGTGCAGCCGGAAGAGGATCAGGCGCAGCCAGAAGAGGATCAGGTGCAGCCAGAAGAGGATCAGGTGCAGCCAGAAGAGGATCATTTACAGCTGGATAGAGAGGCAAAACAGATTGATAATCAATCGGAACGGCAAGACTTGATAAAGACTGCAGAACAGGATACAGTTGACTGCATCGGAGTAGACAGGAAAGCAGAGGACCCGATAATTGAAGAAGACGGAGCATCCGGCAGTGTTTTGCCGGCAGATGGGGCTGTTCCAGTCACTCCACGGAGGCGCTACCCCAGGAGGTCATCCGCTAGGTGCTGTGGAAATGACCTGGCGACCCCAAACATGCCTCGATTGAGACCCCGGACCCCGTGCAGTCGCAAAACCCGTCGCTCAATTTCCGCTCACTGCGATTCGCCGTATCTGATCACCCCCAGTCGGCGGACGCCCGCTAGAGGTCGCCGATTGAGCAAGGTGAAGTTCACCAGAAAGTCATCCACTCCAGAAAGCACAGTGGAATCGGCCAGAAATGGAACGGCGGTAGACATCAGCACAGTGGATGACCTAGAACGGATTGCAATGCCAGAAGCAGCGCTTGGCGTAGTGGAAGCCACCAGTGGATCAGTAAATTCTCCAGGACTGCCAGTGACCCCAGGTTAGTTGACTAAAATTGTGAACGTAGTTGTATCACTCAGTGGAATGCTGTCCGTCCTAGACTTGTCCAGCTGCAGTCGATGTCATTCTATCAATTAAATGTCTTGGAAATTGAATACAGTGGACCCTCGGATAACGTAATTAATCTGTTCCAGAGAGTGTCTTATACTGAATCTCACAATCTGAATTAATTTTCCCCATAAGAAATAATGGAAATCCATTTAATCCATTCCAGACACCCAGAAGTATTAAACAAAATAATTTTATTACATGACATATACATTTGCCTACACAGAAAACAATGAGACATGCAGAGTAAAACATTACTAAACTGACACTTACCTTTATTGATGACTTAGTGATGAGATGGGAGGATGGAGGTGTACTATTGCTTGGAAGGAGAATCCCCTTCCATAAAGACTTCAGGTACCAAGTCCTTTTCCAGGGTTACTTCCCTTCTTTGTTTTTTAATGCCACTGGGACCAGCTTGAGTCACTGCACACCTGTGGAACTCAATCTGCCCAGAGAGCTCTATTTCTGGCCTCTCTTTAAAATTTTGCTAAAATGGGACACAACACTTGTCATTGTAGATGTTGCCAGCACGGCCTGCAACAGCTGTGTCAGGGTGTTCATCCATAAATGTTTGCACATAAGAAAGCAGGAACACCGCAGTAGGCCTGTTGGCCCATACTAGGCAGGTCCTTCACAAACGATCCCACTAACAAAATCGTATTTGCCCAACCCAATTTTCAGTACTTCCCAAGCAGTAAGTTTTGATAATTCTATTCACTCATGCGCAAGTTCCACTCAGATCAAATCATGTGCGGGGAAGTACCTTGGCTGGTGTGTGTGGAAGTACCCTGGCTGGTGTGTGCGGAAGTACCCTGGCTGGTATGTGGGGAAGTACCCTGGCTGGTGTGTGGGGAAGTACCCTGGCTGGTGTGTGTGGAAGTACCCTGGCTGGTGTGTGCGGAAGTACCCTGGCTGGTATGTGGGGAAGTACCCTGGCTGGTGTGTGGGGAAGTACCCTGGCTGGTGTGTGTGGAAGTACCCTGGCTGGTGTGTGCGGAAGTACCCTGGCTGGTATGTGGGGAAGTACCCTGGCTGGTGTGTGGGGAAGTACCCTGGCTGGTGTGTGGGGAAGTACCCTGGCTGGTGTGTGCGGAAGTACCCTGGCTGGTATGTGGGGAAGTACCCTGGCTGGTGTGTGGGGAAGTACCCTGGCTGGTGTGTGGGGAAGTACCCTGGCTGGTGTGTGCGGAAGTACCCTGGCTGGTGTGCGGGGAAGTACCCTGGCTGGTGTGTGGGGAAGTACCCTGGCTGGTATGTGGGGAAGTACCCTGGCTGGTGTGTGGGGAAGTACCCTGGCTGGTATGTGGGGAAGTACCCTGGCTGGTGTGTGGGGAAGTACCCTGGCTGGTGTGTGGGGAAGTACCCTGGCTGGTGTGTGCGGAAGTACCCTGGCTGGTGTGCAGGGAAGTACCCTGGCTGGTGTGTGGGGAAGTACCCTGGCTGGGGTGTGGGGAAGTACCCTGGCTGGGGTGTGGGGAAGTACCCTGGCTGGTGTGTGGGGAAGTACCCTGGCTGGTGCAGGGGGAAGTACCCTGGCTGGTGTGTGGGGAAGTACCCTGGCTGGGGTGTGGGGAAGTACCCTGGCTGGGGTGTGGGGAAGTACACTGGCTGGTGTGTGGGGAAGTACCCTGGCTGGTGCAGGGGGGAGTACCCTGGCTGGTGTGTGGGGAAGTACCCTGGCTGGTATGTGGGGAAGTACCCTGGCTGGGGTGTGGGGAAGTACCCTGGCTGGTATGTGGGGAAGTACCCTGGCTGGGGTGTGGGGAAGTACCCTGGCTGGGGTGTGGGGAAGTACCCTGGCTGGGGTGTGGGGAAGTACCCTGGCTGGGGTGTGGGGAAGTACCCTGGCTGGGGTGTGGGGAAGTACCCTGGCTGGGGTGTGGGGAAGTACCCTGGCTGGGGAGTGGGGAAGTACCCTGGCTGGTATGTGGGAAAGTACCCTGGCTGGTGTGTGGGGAAGTACCCTGGCTGGTGTGTGGGGAAGTACCCTGGCTGGTGTGTGGGGAAGTACCCTGGCTGGTGTGCGGGGAAGTACCCTGGCTGGTGTGTGGGGAAGTACCCTGGCTGGGGTGTGGGGAAGTACCCTGGCTGGGGTGTGGGGAAGTACCCTGGCTGGTGTGTGGGGAAGTACCCTGGCTGGTGTGTGGGGAAGTACCCTGGCTGGTGCAGGGGGAAGTACCCTGGCTGGTGTGTGGGGAAGTACCCTGGCTGGGGGGTGGGGGAAGTACCCCGGCGGGGTGTGGGGAAGTACACTGGCTGGTGTGTGGGGAAGTACCCTGGCTGGTGCAGGGGGAAGTACCCTGGCTGGTGTGTGGGGAAGTACCCTGGCTGGTATGTGGGGAAGTACCCTGGCTGGGGGTGTGGGAAGTACCCTGGCTGGTATGTGGGGAAGTACCCTGGCTGGGGTGTGGGGAAGTACCCTGGCTGGGGTGTGGGGAAGTACCCTGGCTGGGGTGTGGGGAAGTACCCTGGCTGGGGTGTGGGAAGTACCCTGGCTGGGGTGTGGGGAAGTACCCTGGCTGGGGTGTGGGGAAGTACCCTGGCTGGGGAGTGGGGAAGTACCCTGGCTGGTATGTGGGAAAGTACCCTGGCTGGTGTGTGGGGAAGTACCCTGGCTGGTGTGTGGGGAAGTACCCTGGCTGGTGTGTGGGGAAGTACCCTGGCTGGTGTGTGGGGAAGTACCCTGGCTGGTATGTGGGGAAGTACCCTGGCTGGTGTGTGGGGAAGTACCCTGGCTGGTGTGTGGGGAAGTACCCTGGCTGGTGTGTGGGGAAGTACCCGGGCTGGTGTGTGGGGAAGTACCCTGGCTGGGGTGTGGGGAAGTACCCTGGCTGGGGTGTGGGGAAGTACCCTGGCTGGGGTGTGGGGAAGTACCCTGGCTGGTGTGGGGGGAAGTAGCCTGGCTTGTGTGTGGGGAAGTACCCTGGCTGGTGTGTGGGGAAGTACCCTGGCTGGTGTGTGGGAAAGTACCCTGGCTGGTGTGTGGGGAAGTACCCTGGCTGGTGTGTGGGGAAGTACCCTGGCTGGTGTGTGGGGAAGTACCCTGACTGGTGTGTGGGGAAGTACCCTGACTGGTGTGTGGGGAAGTACCCTGGCTGGTGTGTGGGGAAGTACCCTGGCTGGTGTGTGGGGAAGTACCCTGGTTGGTGTGTGGGGAAGTACCCTGGCTGGTGTGGGGAAGTACCCTGGCTGGTGTGTGGGGAAGTACCCTGGTTGGTGCGTGGGGAAGTACCCTGGCTGGTGTGTGGGGAAGTACCCTGGCTGGTGTGTGGGGAAGTACTCTGGCTGGTGTGTGGGGTAGTACTCTGGCTGGTGCGGGGAAGTACCCTGGCTGGTGTGTGGGGAAGTACCCTGGCTGGTGTGTGGGGAAGTACCCTGGCTGGTGTGTGGGGAAGTTCCCTGGCTGGTGTGTGGGGAAGTACCCTGGCTGATGTGTGGGGAAGTACCCTGGCTGGTGTGTGGGGAAGTACCCTGGCTGGTGTGTGGGGAAGTACCCTGGCTGGTGTGTGGGGAAGTACCCTGGCTGGTGTGGGGGGAAGTACCCTGGCTGGTGTGGGGAAGTACCCTGGCTGGTGTGTGGGGGAAGTACCTGGCTGGTGTGGGGGGAAGTACCCTGGCTGGTGTTTGGGGAAGTACCCTGGTGGTGTGGGGGGAAGTACCCTGGCTGTTGTTTGGAGAAGTACCCTGGCTGGTGTGGGGGGAAGTACCCTGGCTGGGGTGTGGGGAAGTACCCTGGCTGGGGTGTGGGGAAGTACCCTGGCTGGTGTTTGGGGAAGTACCTGGCTGGTGTGTGGGGAAGTACCCTGGCTGGTGTGTGGGGAAGTACCCTGGCTGGTGTTTGGGGAAGTACCCTGGCTGGTGTGTGGGGAAGTACCCTGGCTTGTGTGGGGAAGTACCCTGGCTGGTGTGTGGGGAAGTACCCTGGCTGGTGTGGGGGGAAGTACCCTGGCTGGTGTGGGGGGAAGTACCCTGGCTGGTGTTTGGGGAAGTACCCTGGCTGGTGTGGGGGGAAGTAACCTGGCTGGGGTGTGGGGAAGTACCTGGCTGGTGTTTGGGGAAGTACCCTGGCTGGTGTGTGGGGAAGTACCCTGGTGGTGTGTGGGGAAGTACCCTGGCTGGTGTGGGGGGAAGTACCCTGGCTGGTGTGTGGGGAAGTACCCTGGCTGGTGTGGGGGAAGTACCTGGCTGGTGTGGGGGGAAGTAACCTGGCTGGGGTGTAGGGAAGTACCCTGGCTGGTGTTTGGGGAAGTACCCTGGCTGGTGTGTGGGGAAGTACCCTGGCTGGTGTGTGGGGAAGTACCCTGGCTGGTGTGTGGGGAAGTACCCTGGCTGGTGTGTGGGGGAAGTACCCTGGCTGGTGTGTGGGGAAGTACCCTGGCTGGTGTGTGGGGGGAAATACCCTGGCTGGTGTGTGGGGAAGTACCCTGGCTGGTGTGGGGGGAAGTACCCTGGCTGGTGTGTGGGGAAGTACCTGGCTGGTGTGGGGGGAAGTACCCTGGCTGGTGTGGGGGGAAGTACCCTGGCTGGTGTGGGGGAAAGTACCCTGGCTGGTGTGGGGGGAAGTACCCTGGCTGGTTGTGGGGGGAAGTACCCTGGCTGGTGTGGGGGGAAGTTACCTGGCTGGTGTGGGGGAAGTACCCTGGCTGGTGTGGGGGGAAGTACCTGGCTGGTGTGGGGGGAAGTACCCTGGGTGGTGTGGGGGAAAGTACCCTGGCTGGTGTGGGGGAAAGTACCTGGCTGGTGTGGGGGGAGTACCTGGCTGGTGTGTGTGGGGAAGTACCCTGGCTGGTGTGTGGGGAAGTACCCTGGCTGGGTGGGGGGAAGTACCCTGGCTGGTGTGGGGGGAAGTTACCCTGGCTGGTGTGGGGGGAAGTACCCTGGCTGGTGTGTGGGGAAGTACCCTGGCTGGTGTGTGGGGAAGTACCTGGCTGGTGTGTGGGGAAGTACCCTGGCTGGTGTGGGGGGAAGTACCCTGGCTGGTGTGTGGGGAAGTACCTGGCTGGTGTGGGGGGAAGTACCCTGGCTGGGTGTGTGGGGAAGTACCTGGCTGGTGTGGGGGGGGGGAAGTACCCTGGCTGGTGTGTGGGGAAGTACCCTGGCTGGTGTGGGGGAAGTACCCTGGCTGGTGTGGGGGGAAGTACCCTGGCTGGTTGTGGGGGGAAGTACCTGGTGGTGTGTGGGGAAGTACCTGGCTGGTGTGGGGGGAAAATACCCTGGCTGGTGTGGGGGGAAGTACCCTGGCTGGTGGGGGGAAGTACCCTGGCTGGTGTGGTGGGGAAGTACCCTGGCTGGTGTGGGGGGAAGTACCCTGGCTGGTGTGGGGGGAAGTACCCTGGCTGGTGTGGGGGGAAGTACCCTGGCTGGTGTGGGGGGAAGTACCCTGGCTGGTGGGGGGAAGTACCCTGGCTGGTGTGGGGGGAAGTACCCTGGCTGGTGTACCACCACTTTTGTATCTTTTTACAAACTTTTTCTTGAATTCTATAGTGTTTGTCACCCAGTTTAGCACAGTGTTGGCACTAGAAGCTTTCTTTGTGCCCATGTTGGCTTATTTAGCAGTTACAAGCACTAAAAACAATGGAATAATACAAAATGCATCGCATGTACACGTGGAATCATCCTCACTGGCTGGTAAACAATGGCACACTGGCTGTACACGGAGTGTCCGGGTGCGTGGACACATTCGGGACAAATGACTTGAATCAAGTTCAGTGTCATTAACCGAGCCAATATTTTGATGCAAAAACGTTACGTAATCCATTTATTACTTAATCTGATGAAGTGTTAATCTGGGTGGTTCACTGTAGTATGTAGATGCCTTTGTAACCTTTATCTTATTTTTTAATGTTCTATTTTAATTAAGATTTCCAGATATCAGATAATTAATCGAGAAAAGTCTATTGGAAATTGAATAGCCTTTAAAAATGGCTTGGTAGCCTTTCCTATTATATTTTTAAATGTTTTTCAATTGTAAATATCCCATTATTGAAAAAATATTCGAAATTAAATAGCCTTTGTAGCTTTTGCTGTTTAATTTTGAATTTCTATTTCAAATATTTTTAGATAGCTCACTGATTGAAAAAAATATTGGAAAATGGAAATCCTTTCTAAATGGCTTCGTAGCCTTTGTAATGCCATTTTAAAGTACAGCCTCTCCTCATTTAATGACGGAGTTGTGTTCCTAAGACTGCGATGGTAAACAAATTCATCATTAAGTGAAGAGCATACTATAATGGTAGTGGGTTTGTGTCGACCATCTTTGATATTGTTTTAATGTCACCTTCGCACCATTTATAACATTTACCTGGAGAGAGTTCTGGGGGTCAACGCCCCCGTGGCCCAGTCTGTAACCATGCCTCATGGTGGATCAGAGCCTGATCAACCAGGCTGTTACTGCTGGCTGCACACAATCCAGGGTATGAGCCACAGCCCAGCTGGTCAGGTACTGACTTTAGGTGCTTGTCCAGTGCCAGCTTGAAGACTGCCAGGGGTCTATTGGTAATCCCCCTTATGTATGCTGGGAGGCAGTTGAACAGTCTCGGGCCCCTGACACTTATTGTATGGTCTCTTAACGTGCTAGTGACACCCCTGCTTTTCATTGGGGGGATGTTGCATCGTCTGCCAAGTCTTTTGCTTTCGTAGTGAGTGATTTTCATGTGCAAGTTCGGTACTAGTCCCTCTAGGATTTTCCAGGTGTATATAATCATGTATCTGTATATTGTAATACAGTGGAACCTGAGTTTTTGTATGCCCCAGGTTGTATGTAAAACTACTTATTCTCCATAAAATGTATTGTTTGTTAATATTTCCCATAAGAAATAATGTATATCCAATTACTCCGTTCCAGACACCCAAAAATATTAACAAAAAATACATTTTATAGGGAATAACTATAGTTTTACATACAACCTGGGGCATACAAAAACCCAGGTTCCACTGTAAACAGAATAGAGGAAATCAGCTTAGTGACATACTCTAATGAGTATGTCACTAAGTGAGAAGAGGCTGTATTTCCAGGTGACACTGTACAGAAGTATTATAAGAGAGGTTACTGCATGTTAGATGTTTTTGTAGGTAACACTTATGATAGGCCTAGTGTGTTGAGCCTATATTGTTTTTGTTGATAGGCCTAGTGTTGAGCCTACATTAACTTTTTGATAAGCCTAGTGTGTTGAGCCTATGTTAATGTTTTTATGATAGGCTTAGCGTGTTAAGCCTATATTTTTTTTATAGGCCTATTGTGTTGATCATACATTAACTTTTACCAGGGAATGCTTGATAAGCCTAGTATCAAGGTATTATCAAGCCTACATTAGCATTGTTTTTGCAGGGAGTGCATGTGATAGACCTAGAGTATCAAGAAAGGTGTTGTCCAGCCCCTGGATAGACACAACGCGGCGCTCCAGGAAACAGAGCTGTGGCACACCAGACTTCCAGAAGTTCGACGATGTTGCCATAGATGGTAGGTGATGCATTGAATGATGGTGCAAATGTTTCTTTTTTTTTTGGGGGGGGGAAATAGATTTTGTATTTTCCTGGGTTGTGTGATTGATGGTTGAAGTGTTTCTTCTCTTTGTTATTGTGTGTTGCAGGGTTACGTGATGGCGGTGGGTTGAGGATCAGACAGAGCAGTGGAGCTGACACAGCGATGGATGATCAACCCTACAGCAGCAGTGAACTGCTGGCGCTGCTACGACCATCACAGTCTGTTGTTGTTGTCGACTCGCCAGGTGAGGTCTACTGTGGGGGCCCAGGGGAAGTGTAGGGGTCAGGGAGGGGTCCAGGGGGAGTGTAGGGGTCCAAGGGAATGCAGGTGGTCAAGGAGGGCTCCAGGGGGAGTGTTGGTGGGCTGGAAGGGGTTCAGGGGAAGAGTGGGTGGTCCAGGAGTAATGTAGGTGGTCAGGGAGGGGTTCAGGGGGAGAGTGGGTGGTCCAGGAGTAATGCAGGTGGTCAGGGAGGGGTTCAGGGGGAGTGTAGAGGAGCTTAATGGGAGATGCCAGGGTATGTCATCCCCTGGGGATATGGCAGCACCCTTATGGGTTTGCCTACACTTGGGGAATAATTCTGAAGCTGTCACAGCTCTTGTCCCTATGAATTAGTATCCAAGATGCTGTGGATGGACTGTTGGTTGAGAGACAGGGCCCAGGAACTAGAGCCTGTCCTCCAGAAGTGCATATTTGTGGTGTGGCTAGTTTCTTTTTAGACACAGTAAACATTAGATGTAATGGACTTCTGAAAGTGTGGGAAATCCACTGGTTAAATTGTACTTTAACACAGTGAACATTGGATATTATACATGAAATAACGAGGGGATATCTACTGGTTAAATCGTACTTTTAACTGCTTTGTATTATCAGGTATATTAGGTGTATTCTGTATGTGTATAGGGGGAGGGTAGTGTATGGTGCATAGAAATACAACTAGTTGTATGGATCTTAATCACTAAAAAATCAATATAAGTTATTTCTTTGCAATATGTTAGCATTAATCTGATTTAAGGGACACTGATGTTGGCTGCTCTTAATGCATTATATTGAGGGTTCAGTGTGTTGATGTTTACTATGTGGATAATTGCATTAACAAGGTTCATTGTTGACAGATATTGATGTGTGGGGCATGGCAAGTCGTGCAGAGATAACCAGTAACATTGGCGTTCCAGTTGTTACCCCGAAATCATTGAGCAGGGTAACCTCACCTAACCATCAGACCAACCAGGAGATACCCGAGTGTGGCGTTGTCTCCCCTCCAACTAAACTAGAGGACATTGGTGAGTTTGACCTGACTTCTGCAGCGTTTGGTTGCCCTCGATGCCTCTGATGGGGTTCGAGGGTCTTCCTTTCTCTTGAAGGTTCACCTTGAGCCAGGCTGAATGGGACAGTCATGTTGGGCAGTCCATTGGGGGTCTAATCATAAAAAAAGTGGTACCCCTAATCTAAAGTGGGATTTTAGGGTCGTTGGGTTTGGAATATTAATTATTTGTTTATTTTACAGGTGGGGAACATCCACTAGGAGGAACAGTAACAGCAGGAATAGCAGTGACAGGAACAGCAACAGCAGTGAGAATGCAGAAGAATGACAATGTTGCTAGGCCACCAACCTCAGGGAAGAGAAAATCTAGAAGATCAGTCATGTTTGCTGTTGATCAGGAGAATAGTGCACCATCACTCAGATTCCCTACTACACCAATCAGGTCTTCCTCCAGAGTGTCCAGTAAGTCCAAGAATGTTCAGGTGCTCCTTGCTTTACCAGGGTTCAACTTCTGGTAATTTTAACTTGATATTTTCAATATTCGATATTTTCAACTTGCTATTTTAACTTCTCCATGGGAAAGTGGAAGAGAATTCTTCGTCTGTAAGACATGCGTGTTGTAAGAGGCGACTAAAATGCTGGGAACGACGGGCTAGAACCCCTTCTGTATACATTACTAAATTTAAAAAGAGAAATTTGTTTTTCTCTTTTGGTCACCCTGCCTGGGTAGGATATGGCTGGTTTGTTTGAAAAAAAAAAACATTTCCAACTTAGGGTATTTCTGTGTCTCAATTTATAACATTTTCTGTACAACATTGTATGTCTTTCAGTGGGTGTGTTCGCTAAGCTGGACCTAAACAGTGACATTCTTGCCAACCTGGATGAAAATCTGGCACTTGTGGACTCCCCAAAGAGTGAGAAAAAACTACCAGGTGAGTCGTTTTGACACCAGGGTATTCGTCCACGAATAATGTGCACAGTGAGGGAACATTAACTAGTCACACACAAGCAAGAAGGGAAGGTAGTCAGTATATAGAAGAACAAACTTCAGGACCATGTTTCAGGGCCACTTCAACTATTAACTCTTTCAAGGTCCACACACATGGTCTGAAAATTGCTCCCAGGGTCCAAGAATTTAAAAAAAAAATATTACTTTTGCTTATGAAACAACATAAAATGTTTTTCCAAAGGTAACTACACCGAAAATACTAAATTTGTTAGAAAATTTGAGCATCAGTGATTTCACCCACTTTGAGGTCTATTTTAGGCCAATTCCATTATTCCAGCAGACCACATTCTTAGCTGTCTCACTAGTATGTCTTCCATTCTGTGGATTGAGTACAAGAAACTGCCCATGCAGCTATTTCAATTACCCAATAAAGTGATCGGAAGTTGGTAATTTAGCCAGTTTTACACAAAATTAAAAAACTGCCAATTTAAAAACAGGGTCTAAACATTTCCTCTGTTCATTAGTCATGTTCTTAGGCCTCCCTAGGTCTCCCCAGGCCTCTCCTATATTTCACTTGCCTTCCATTTTCAATTCTTACTCAAAAAATCAAATATTTACTCTATTTCTGGGATAATAAAATATAACCAGAAAAGATTGTTCATGGTTTATAGCCTCCCAATAATTGAATTAGGCCTACTAAAATCCCATAAACCAGATGAGTTTGTAAAGGGGCCTTACTTGTCCTCTGGAATATTGGCAAAAATAAAATATCTCCACTACTTTGAGGTCAGTTTCATGCTATTTGCAGTCCTGAAACCAATCAAAATCATCTTTATTTCAGTACTGTATCTCCCATTCTAACAACTGAGACCAAGAAACCGAGAGTAAAACCATCCAAAAAACGCCACAAAATTGCTGTTTTAAACCAAACATCGCGCACTGACCCATTACCTCATATGTAGGCCTAAATTGACCTCTCAACTCGCCTGAGTGAGCTTAGCTCATCACTAGGCCTGTTGAGGGACTACGAGCTTGATGACTGGCATATGTGATAACCAGTGGAAAAGCTTAGCCATCACCCCATGGATATTGTACAGGCCTTTTAAATGGCTTAGTTTGTATAGTAATTTTTTCCATCTTGTTGGCTGTCCCATATAGAGATGAACTGAAATTAGTTGATACAGTGGCTGCCATGGAGGCCTTTTAAATGGCCTAGTTTGCATAGTTATTGCTTTTCTCTTGATGACAATAATGTCCCATGTAGAGAGGAACTAAAATTGATAAAATGGCTACCAAGGAGGACTTTTAAATGTGTGTAGAGTATTTTCTATTAAATTCTATACAGTAGCTACCATAGAGGCCTCTTAAATGGCCTAGTTTGTATAGCGTTTTCCATAAAATTAGTAAGTAGAAAGGCGCATTGTTACCATGGAGGCCTTTTAAATGGCCTAGGTTGTATAGTATTTTCCCATAAAATTAGTCTATACAGTGACTACCATGGAGGCCTTGTATATGGCATAGTCCTTGCCTCCCCTCTAATATGTATGCAGTGCATACTGCCAGTGGTGTCTGAGACCTTGCTGGTTTAGTGCTTACCCTCAGGCCACACTAATGGTAATTTAAAAATTGCAGGCACACTTAGGAGGTCGGTGCGTGTGAGTTTGCTGCCGGGCATGACCACGGACCCTGTTGGCAAGCAACAGGAGCCAGTCACTGGTGACTTGATTAGCTGGGAGTCTCCTGTTGTCAGCAAGAGGAGGAGTCTTAGGAAGTCAACAGGTGTGTTTTTTTTTCTGGCTATTGGTTGAATGATTTTTTTCTTTTTAAGCCCACTGCCTTCCTGGTGAATGTTTCTAGCAGTCAGTGACTGAATGATGGTGAATGTGCATCTTCTAGCACACTGTAGTGACTTGTTTGTGGTTACTGGGGGTTGAATCTGAGCTCCTGGCCCATCCTTTCAACCTGCCACATTGACTTCCTTCATAACCTTGGGTACCTTGTCATACCTGATCTTTACACTGTATAAAATTTGATTTCCATTTAATATTGACCCATGACCTTTACTCCCCCATGACTAGCATCCCCATTTCCTAGGTGCTGTACTAGTCTCTAGATTCATCTCATTTCCCAGATGCTGTATGAATCTCTGGATTCATCTCTCACAACTATAATTCTCTTTTATAATGGCTGATGTTGTTGACAGTGTTGAGCTACGCCACCCCAAAGAGACAGTCACGACGTCTAAGCAAGGCTGCGGGACCCTAGGAGTCATCATGGAGCATCTGCGGCGCTACTCCAGCTGGATAAGTCCCATCCAAAAGTGATTCCGCTCTGCAGAGCTGAATTAGGCCTGTCCAGGAGTCATTCCACTCTGCAGAGCTGGATTAGGCCTGTCTAGGAGTCATTCCACTCTGCAGAGCTGGATTAGGCCCGTCTAGAAATATCCTGCCTAGGCTGTGTACACTACATATCTGCCTCTGGTTAATACACTACTACTGTGCCTTTGTAAATACAAATTAATTCATACAAGGTGTATATCTGCCCAGGCCATTTAGAGAGATCACACATAGGCCAGAAGAGCTTTACTTGACTCCTTTTTAATTTCTAGTGCTCCGTAGACTCGTTCTACCTGTGGTTCATACACAGATACTACTACCGAGCCTCTGTATATACCACAGATCAATACATACGAGGTGTATGGTTACCCAGGCCATTTAGAGCAATAACGCAAAGGCCAGATAAACGGCAGTCTACAAAATTGATTTTCAAGTTTTGCAAAGGCCAGATGCATTTGAATTCAAGATTTTATATATTTTCTTAGTGCTTTATTTTTTAAAGGATTTAAGGAGGGTCATTTAACCAACCACTTCTGTTATAGGCCTAAGTCTTAAATGTCATCGTAGGAGGTACTTTTTCACCTTAATGTTTCGGACAGGACAATAAAATGGCCTCAAGCCAACACTGTAGTAGAAGAAATAACTTTAATGGTACTTGAAGGCCATTTAACCCTTAAACTGTCCAAACTTAGATCTACGTTCGGTCGCGTAGCACTCCGAACGTAGATCTACGTTTTTTACATGCTTTCTTATGGAGAAAATCAAGGTCGGAGTGCTACGCGCACAAACGTAGATCTGCGTTTGGGCAGTTTAAGGGTTAATGAGAAAATGTGCTTAGGCCTACTTTCTGGATGCTTCTGGCCATTTAAATAAATTAGAAGGCTTAATTGTTCTTAATACATCTCTGCATAGGCATATATTTATTTTAATAGGCCTTATGCCTTTTCTTGGGCTATTATTTACAAATAATATAGTTTACATTCTTAATAGGCACATGTCCTCGTGCCTAAGACCTTTCTTTTATATTTTTAAAAGGCACATGTGCTTAGGCTGAAAGCATTTTTCTTGGAAATTCTTTACGGATTACTAGTTTATATTATATTGCCCTTACGGGTTTGGTGCTTCTCTGTAAGTGCTGTTATTTTTGCCTTTTATAAAGAGAGGCCTTTTAGTGGCATATGTTTAACCTGTGACATTGTAGGCTGTGTATATATAGTATATTCTGTTCAAAATGTTTGGACAGATTTTTATTGGTCTGTTTGAATATGGTAGGCCTATTTTGTACAGCCTACCATTGTTTTTGCTAGGCCTATTTTGTGTATATACAGCCTACCATTATTTCTGAATGTTAGGGATATCTTCATGTACAGCCTACCATTTTTTAATATGCTAGGCCTATCTTGTATATCATGTCATTATTTTTTAATATACTAGGCCTATCTTCATGTACATCCTACCATTATTTCTGGATAAGATAGGCCTGTCATGTACAGCCTACCATTTTCTGAATATACTAGGCTTCTCATTCATATACAGCCTACTATTGTCAGTATAGTAGGCCTATATTATGTACCTGAGTTATATAGAATATAATGTATTATATTTAATCAAAGGAATTATTGAAGTTTATTGACCAAAATGTTTGTCATAAAGAGAGAGATGTATGTGAGAGTGGTGGATATATAGAGAGAGAGAGTGTGTGTGACGATCAGCAGCCTTGGGATAAGATGTTTGGCCTCTGGGCTGGCCAGCTCCTGGCCTAACATCTTGGCCAAGTTGTAATCTGTGATTTTGCCTCTGTCAATATATATCTGTCACTCGATATATACATCTACAGTAGGGCCCCACTTTACGGCGTTTCGCTTTATGGCGTTCCGCTAATACCGTCACTTCAAATTATGACCAAAACTCCATACGGCCCCCCCCACCTGATTTTCTAATACGATCACCGCGCCCCACCTGGTTTGTTTACACACACTGTGAGCTCAGTAAGCACTAATTCTCTCCATTGTCTGGAAACTCCAAAATTTCAAGTGTATTTAAAAGTTATTCCATATTTTATATATACATACTCTGGAGGATAGATGGGCTAATAAGAGCATAGGCAATGGGGTCGAAGAGGTATGGGGTAGGTTTAAAAATGTAGTGTTAGTGTTCAGCAGAAGTTTGTGGTTACAGGAAAGTGGGTGCGGGAGGGAAGAGGAGCGATTGGTGGAATGATGATGTAGAGAGAGCAGTAAGGGAGAAAAAGCTAGCATATGAGAAGTTTTTACAAAGTAGAAGTGATGCAAGGAGGGAAGAGTATATGGAGAAAAAGAGAGAGGTTAAGAGAGTGGTGAAGCAATGTAAAAAGAGAGCAAATGAGAGAGTGGGTGAGATGTTATCAACAAATTTTGTTGAAAATAAGAAAAAGTTTTGGAGTGAGATTAACAAGTTAAGGAAGCCTAGAGAATAAAGAGGTATTGGGAAGATGGAGGGAATATTTTGAGGAATTGTTAAATGTTGATGAAGATAGGGAAGCTGTGATTTCGTGTATAGGGCAAGGAGGAATAACATCTTGTAGGAGTGAGGAAGAGCCAGTTGTGAGTGTGGGGGAAGTTCGTGAGGCAGTAGGTAAAATGAAAGGGGGTAAGGCAGCCGGGATTGATGGGATAAAGATAGAAATGTTAAAAGCAGGTGGGGATATAGTTTTGGAGTGGTTGGTGCAATTATTTAATAAATGTATGGAAGAGGGTAAGGTACTTAGAGATTGGCAGAGAGCGTGCATAGTTCCTTTGTATAAAGGCAAAGGGGACAAGAGAGAGTGCAAAAATTATAGGGGGATAAGTCTGTTGAGTATACCTGGTAAAGTGTATGGTAGAGTTGTTATTGAAAGAATTAAGAGTAAGACGGAGAATAGGATAGCAGATGAACAAGGAGGCTTTAGGAAAGGTAGGGGGTGTGTGGACCAGGTGTTTACAGTGAAACATATAAGTGAACAGTATTTAGATAAGGCTACAGAGGTCTTTGTGGCATTTATGGATTTGGAAAAGGCATATGACAGGGTGGATAGGGGGGCAATGTGGCAGATGTTGCAGGTGTATGGTGTAGGAGGTAGGTTACTGAAAGCAGTGAAGAGTTTTTACGAGGATAGTGAGGCTCAAGTTAGAGTATGTAGGAAAGAGGGAAATTATTTCCCAGTAAAAGTAGGCCTTAGACAAGGATGTGTGATGTCACCGTGGTTGTTTAATATATTTATAGATGGGGTTGTAAGAGAAGTAAATGCGAGGGTCTTGGCAAAAGGCGTGAGGTTAAAAGATAAAGAATCACACATAAAGTGGGAGTTGTCACAGTTGCTCTTTGCTGATGACACTGTGCTCTTGTGAGATTCTGAAGGGAAGTTGCAGAGATTGGTGGATGAATTTGGTAGGGTATGCAGAAGAAGAAAATTAAAAGTGAATACAGGAAAGAGTAAGGTTATGAGGATAAAAAGATTAGGTGATGAAAGATTGGATATCAGATTGGAGGGAGAGAGTATGGAGGAGGTGAATGTATTCAGATATTGGAGTGGACGTGTCAGCGGATGGGTCTATGAAAGATAAGGTGAATCATAGAATTGATGAGGGGAAAAGGGTGAGTGGTGCACTTAGGAGTCTGTGGAGACAAAGAACTTTGTCCTTGGAGGCAAAGAGGGGAATGTATGAGAGTATAGTTTTACCAACGCTCTTATATGGGTGTGAAGCATGGGTGATGAATGTTGCAGCGAGGAGAAGGCTGGAGGCAGTGGAGATGTCATGTCTGAGGGCAATGTGTGGTGTGAATATAATGCAGAGAATTCGTAGTTTGGAAGTTAGAAGGAGGTGCGGGATTACCAAAACTGTTGTCCAGAGGGCTGAGGAAGGGTTGTTGAGGTGGTTCGGACATGTAGAGAGAATGGAGCGAAACAGAATGACTTCAAGAGTGTATCAGTCTGTAGTGGAAGGAAGGCGGGGTAGGGGTCGGCCTAGGAAAGGTTGGAGGGAGGGGGTAAAGGAGGTTTTGTGTGCGAGGGGGCTTGGACTTCCAGCAGGCATGCGTGAGCGTGTTTGATAGGAGTGAATGGAGACAAATGGTTTTTAATACTTGACATGCTGTTGGAGTGTGAGCAAAGTAACATTTATGAAGGGGTTCAGGGAAACCGGCAGGCCGGACTTGAGTCCTGGAGATGGGAAGTACAGTGCCTGCACTCTGAAGGAGGGGTGTTAATGTTGCAGTTTAAAAACTGTAGTGTAAAGCACCCTTCTGGCAAGACAGTGATGGAGTGAATGATGGTGAAAGTTTTTCTTTTTCGGGCCACCCTGCCTTGGTGGCCACCCTGCCTTGGTGGGCCACCCTGCCTTGGTGGGCCACCCTGCCTTGGTGGCCACCCTGCCTTGGTGGGAATCGGCCAGTGTGATAATAAAAAAAAAAACATACTCTGATAATTATACTTATGTATACCTGTACCTAAATAAACTTACATACTGTGCTGGCGTGCAGGTACACACTGTGCTGGCGTGCAGGTACACACTGTGCTGGCGTGCAGGTACACACTGTGCTGGCGTGCAGGTACACACTGTGCTGGCGTGCAGGTACACATTAAAATCAGTAAGAGTTTCTTATGTCTTGAGATGTCATATTAGTAATGATAATAATCACCGAGTCTCATTAAATGTTGTATATTACGTTAATATACACATTTTCATTAATCCATCTATGATATTTTTACAAAATTATATAATAAACACAATACATTATATATAAAGATGATAAATACACCGCACAGTAGAATAATCAAATATGAGATGTGGCAGCCAGACGACTTGTATGAGTGACGGCAAGAATAACGTTTTCTCTAGTCCAACGTAAGAAAATGTGTTACTTGGCATAACTGTAGAAAATTATTCCTTTCATATGCCTTCATTCAGAGCGTTATTTCTTCTAAAAATGGTGTTATGTGAGAATGGGAGTGTTTCTCTTTATTTATTCTACAGTATCAATGTAGAGACAACTTGTACATAATGTAACTTGTACACAAACCAAACGTGTACACCTGGTTTGTTTAGGTAACTCCACCAGTGTCCTCTCTCATGTACTCATTCTCTCTCTCATTTATTCGTTTTATCTCATTTACTCACCTCTGACCTTACATTAAGACTACAAATATTTTAAGGTAAGTAATGAGTGAACTGTATATGCATTTTATTGCTCTGGGATGCTTTTTTTTTTTTTTTTTTTTTTTTTTTTAACAAGTTGGCCGTCTCCCACTGAGGCAGGGTGACCCAAAAAGAAAGGAAATACTTGGATCATCATTCAACACTTTCACCTCGCACAAAATCACTATTTTTGCAGAGGTGCTCAGAACACGACAGTTTAGAAGCATATACATATAAAGATACACAACATATCCCTCCAAACTGCCAATATCCCAAACCCCTCCTTTAGAATGCAGGCATTGTACTTCCCATTTCCAGGACTCAAGTCCGGCTATATAAAAATAACCGGTTTCCCTGAATCCCTTCACTAAATATTACCCTGCTCACACTCCAACAGATTGTCAGGTCCCAAATACCATTCGTCTCCATTCACTCCTATCAAACACGCTCATGCACGCCTGCTGGAAGTCCAAGCCCCTCACCCACAAAACCTCCCTTACCCCTTCCTTCCAACCTTTTCGAGGACGATCCCTACCCCGCCTTCCTTTTCCTACAGGTTTAAATGCTCTCCATGTCATTCTACTTTGATCCATTCTCTCTAAATGACCAAACCACCTCAACCCCTCTTCACTAATACTTTTATTAACTCCACACCTTCTCCTAATTTCCACACTCTGAATTTTCTGCACAATATTTACTCCGCACATTGCCCTTAGACAGGACATCTCCACTGCCTCCAACCGTCTCCTTGCTGCTGCATTCACAACCCAAGCTTGTTTCACGCTGTCCTTGAAGTGGAGCCAAATGTGGTACTTTGACAATATTGGCCTTGTACATAACAGTAAGGCCACCCACATCCCTCCTGTGTTGAAGGTTCTCCTGAAATGACAGATCTATCCAGGATGGGTCCAGGCGAGAGATGAGACGTCTTGCTCTGTTCTCTACTCTGTCAAGCAGTCGAAGATGAGGGGGGGGGGGGGGGGCAGTGCAGGCAAACCAAGAAAGTGGAGTATACTCAAGGAGTGAGCATACTTGTGCCTCGTACAGAATCTTGCAACCCCTATTGTCAAGCAGATGCGAGATACGGCAAAGTGCTGTAAACTTCCTGGCTGCAAGATTTACAACATGGTTCTTCATGGTTAGTTTGGAGTCAAATTTCACCCCAAGGATATCAACTTCTTCTCCAGGTGCCAACACCCTCCCATTCATCCTTACTACTGCACCAGCATTACCATCATGGTGCCTAGAGACGATCATCATTTGCGTTTTCTCAGGTGCAAATGTTACTTGCCATCTATTTCCCCAAGCTGATATAGCTCTTAGCTGTGATTGATGTAGCTTAGAGCAGCTGGCATTTCTTCTCTTGGATAAGTAAATGTCAGTGTACAGTCGTCTGCATATGCGTGGGATTCTGGGATGAGATGAAGAAGGTTGTTGAAGTAGACATTACATAACAATGGTCC